AAGGGTGGGAGAGGGGGCTTGTGTCCAGTCCAGGCCTGGGCTCAGGGGAGGAGCTGGGCCTCCAGAAGGACTGGATGGCCTGTCAGTACTCACTGCCCCCTCCCCTGCCCTCGCTCTCTATCCTTCTAGAACCTGGGTCTCCAGATCTGGCACCTGAAAATCAAGACCTGCCCAGCCCACACCCGTCCTGGACTCAGCATTTCCTGGGTGCCATCATCCTAAGTTGCATCGATGAGCTACTGCCCTGCAGGACGCAAGGTGGCTGGTGGTAGTCCTGGTGCCCGAGGGTCTGGAGCAATGCTCTCTCTGGGGAGGGCAAAAAGCAGCCATAGAATCAGGCCCGCCTGTGAGGTAGTGATGGCCACGTTGTGGCCCCCTATCCTGCCTAATGGGCTCCTCAAGGTGGCCGGTGTCCCCCCGCTGTGGTCCTGGGCCTCTCCACTCTGCACCCAGCAGGAACCGGCTACAGCACATAGGGGCTCTGAGTTTGGGCTGGTGTAGGGGCTGTCCCTGGAGCCTGGTGGCCTCCCTGAGATGGGGGGCAGCTCACAAGCCAGCCTAGTGAGGGAAGGTGCTTGTTCCACCTGGAGGCTGCTCCCTGCTCCCTGCTCTCAGTGTTTCCGGGATCTTCCTGCACGGGGTTGGGGAACCCTGGCATCCCCAGCCGCTCTCCCCGCTTCCCTGGGAAAGTGGAAGGAGGAGTGAGAGGCGTATTAATAAAAGAATAGGATACTGCAACGAACTCCGCAGCGTGTGTGTGTGTGTGCGCGGCTCAGAATAGCAATGTGTTTCTCAAGGCAAACAGAACTCCCCAGGTGTTAATGCAAATTCACTCCAGTTAAGATGAAAGGGGGCTGTTCTCTCTTCGCTGGTTAATATGAAGAACTTAATAGATTCAGCCTCAGCAACGCTGGCTGGGAGGGGAAGGCTGGGGGCAGGATCTGGCAACAAGGGACGCCCTGTGGGTTTTAGGGCAGAGCCACTGTCACCACAGCGGGCCTGGCCGATGGTGCAGCGTGTGTCACCCCATCCGTCCTCCACCTGGGCTGACAGGGCCTGGGCCCCCTGCTCGGAGGCGGCAGCGGGAAGCCCGCGGTGGTGATGCCACCTGCCTGCCCTGCTGCCCACTGCCCTTCGCTTTAACTCAGGGTCCAGCATCACAATCTCCACTCCCCAGTCTGTGCCGGAGGCACGTGGGGCTTGAAGAAAGGGCGGGCTGAGACTGGCCGTGTAGGCAGGGCACCTGATTCTCATCCGGCGGGTGTCTGTGGTCGCCCCTGTGGGTCAGCCCATCCCCTTTTGACTCCTTGGACAGTGGCACTAGTTCAACAGCACCTGGGAGACCAGTGTGAGGAATTCGCTTAGAAACATGACATTTCTAAGACTGTTGTTAGAAGACTGTTGGAACAGCAAGGGGCCTCGGAGTCCCTCTGGTCCAGACCTGACCCTGTATAGCAGAGGACGTGGAGGCCCGGAGAGTGGAAAGGACTCTCAAGGCCGAGCAGCTGGAAGCAGAGAGCTGGAGGGACTAGAACCCGCAGCTCACTCTCCTGAAGTGCAGGCCGGAAGCCTGGTGGCTGTCTGTGGAACACAGTCCGGGTGGGTCTGCCTGCCACGGAACCCCTTCCTCCCACGTGGGGAACCCTTCTCCAGCCCAGGGCCCCCAGCTCAGCAGCTGACCGCAGAATTATTCTTCACGGAGAGTTACACAGGGTAAGAGCTGGGCCGTTTTGGGGGTGGTGGGGACGGACACTGGGCACAGGCTGGGCTGCAACAGAGTGTGCTGGGGACCCCAGGAAGGTTCCTCAAGCCTCAGCGGGGCTTAAAGGGAGGCTTCTGGGGAGGGCGGGTGGGAGTGAGGCCATTCCCACCACCCGTCCACTTCACTTGCCTGAATTTAACTCCTCTCTCTCAGGGCAAATGGCACAGCAGGTGCGGGCAAGGAGCAAGGAGCCACCTCCACAGCCTTCTTCACTTTTGTTTACTGACTTAATTCCTTCAGATCAAAGGCTGCCCCTTCCTCCCCTAGCAGGCAGGCTGGGGAATTACATTATTTATATTGGAAATGGGCAAGCCTCCATGGGGACTTCTTCCTTATGCCTGTTAGGATAAAATTAGGTCACTGCTGTGCCTCCCCAGTGTCCGTGGCTGGGTTTTCACGGCCCAGGGACCCACGGGCTCTGGGAAGATTTCCAGGTGCAGGGCCGAGCGCTACCCACCCAGCTCCTCTCCCACCCGGAGCCTCCAGTAAATTATTGACCGGAGCATCAAGTATTAATGTGACAAAGCAGAACATCCTTCCCAGGAAGCCCCAGCCCGGGTTATCTATCATCTCCTGGGCTTTGCAGCTGGCACTGGGCAAACACCACCAGGACAAACAGGCCCAATGCAGGTTCATTAAGCTCCTGGTGCAGGTGGAGGGATGGGGCCCGTGGGGGTGGGGTGCACTAGTGGGCTTGGTCCTTCTGAGCCAGGGCTTCCTCTGGGTCATCACTGCTCTCTCTGCTTCCTCCTGCATCCCCCCACCCCCACCCTGAGGAAGAATCTGGCAAAAGAGCTACCCTCCTCAGACCCGGTACTATTAATCCCCACAAAACTCTACTTTTAGCTGAAGAAACTGCTGAGCCCAAATGTTAGGTAACTTGCCTAGTATCCAGGATCACCCGGCTGGCAAGTGGCTGAGTGGGCTTTGAACCCTGGTCCTTCTGAGTTCCAAGTCAGTTAGGGCCCTGAACCCTTTCAGCTATGTGGTTTCCTCAGCCCTCCCCAGGGCTGGGTGTTAAGAAGAGATTTCATGTTTCGTTGTGCATGTTGCTTCTATTCCTAATAAATAATGGTAACACTGCTACCTATCCTCACCCTTCTTTCATAGAAATCTGAGTGCCTTGTTGCATCTGTTCTTGCTGTCATCCTGGCACCATCCCAGATGTGCCCAGGGACATCACTGTCAACCCTCTTCACAGAGAGGGAAGCAGGTTTCGGCAAGCAAAGCGTCTGGCCCTGCAGGGAAGGGGGTGGCACGGAGCAAGCATGTGGCTTAGCAGACCGGCCAGGCGGGCTCTTGCTGCTCCGACTCCGGAGCTCTTCAGGAGATGTCTTGATTTCCTAGGCTCAGAGGCAACATGCCAGGAGCTATTCTGGGGCTAACATCCCCGTGAGAAAAATGGGCATCTAGTGGAAACCGGGAGAAGACACAGTGGGGGTTCCTCTGAGTCATTCGTGCTGATGAACGGCCCAGGTTGCCTCCCTATACGAGAGCTCCGGAGGCCTGCCCAAGCTGGGACCGAGGCTGCAGCATCCTGCCGTAATGCAGCAATGACAGGCTGCCAGGGAGCCCCAGGAGAGGACAGGACCCTGTGGTGGCCTCTCTCAGCTGCCTGGGCTGTCTGAGAGGGAGACGGAGACTGTGCGGATGGCTCGACTGTCTCTTCCCCAGACGTGCAAGAAATTGGATGACACCGCTGCAGCAATCTTCTCACCAACACCTTTCCCCCAGAGTCCTGCTGCCAGCTCATCGCTGTACGTGGGCGGCTCCCCATCCGCTCCTCCAAAGCGGAACCTTCCGGGGTGGGCAGCCCTGACAGCCGCCAGGCACTCGGCTCTCAGGCGAGGACCAGAGGCAAAGGACGGAGTGCTGGGAGGGAGGCCACAGGTTGCCCTTCAGGGATCCCACCGGACCAGGCTGCAAACGCCACAGTTAAGCACTGAGGGCTGGCCAGCATCTTTGGGTTTACAGCACCGTCAACACAAACTTGGGAAAAAAAAAAAAAAAAGAACAGAAAAGAAAAAGAAAAAAAGCAGAGTAGACCTCAACCAGTCTCCCCCATGCCAATGTGCCAGGTGGTATTATTAATTCTCACTCCACTTAACGGAGACCTCTGATCTGTGCGGGCGCCTACTGCCTTCTGGGGGTTGGAGGCTGGCTTCAAAGAAGTCAGGTAACAACACTGTCTGGGCAGCTTCAAACGGCCAGTACTTGTGAAGTGCGCTCTCTGGCTCACCCTACAGAGGAAAGCAGACTGTTTCCAATCACTGAGAACAACAGAATCTGTATTTAAGAAATGAAGTAGTTTCATGTTACTACTTACCTAATAAAAATGTTCTAATGAGTTCCTAATTCTATACATTTAAAATTATGAAATGCCATTCACCAATTTTACAATGTTCTAATTTTACAGCATCAAACCTATCTTTCCGAATATGGAAAAACAAGTTATATTTAACTCAAATTCTCGGAAGCTTTTGTGTATTTTGATGGGTTATTTTCCTTCTGGGCTTGTGCAGTGGGGACCTGGAGCGCATGCTGACGTGTGACAGGCAGCCCTGCGGTCCCTTAGAAGTCCCGACGACACCCAGGGCCCCTGCATCTCGGCCTTTGGGATGTGTGGTTTGGGGGCGGGGTTATCCTACTGTAGTTTCGGTCTTAATGAAGGACTTTTATTGATTAAAAAGAGAGAAAACAAAAAACCACCAGCTCTGCAGCAGCAGCAGCTCTTAACTCTAAGTGCAAATGGCTTGTAGTCCTGTGACAATAGCTGAGCGTCCCCTGGCCTGCAGACAGTGCTGGGACCCCAGTGGCTCTGCACAGCACCCCCTCCCGCCTCCAGAGCCCAGATGGGGACACCCAGAAGCAGAAGCCTCTGGGGGGATGGCCTGCTCCAACACCCTCGTTTTCAGGACTGGAGCTGAGGACTGGCAGCGGGTGCAGAAGGAAAACACAGGCAGTGGGACACGGCCCAGGGCCCCTTCTGTGACTCTGAGCGCCGCCCAGGAAGAGGGGAGGGAGTTCCCAGGTGAAGGTACAGGAACGGGGCTGTCAGCAGCCCGGGAAGGACAATCCTTTTTCTACAAAGGTATGAGGCTGGAGGTGAAGTCCTGGGCGGGCAGGGAGGGCAGAACCCCATTTCCTCAACACCCAAGAGGTGGCCCCATCCCCCAGCCTCCCCATTGGCCTGAGCAACAAGCAAACTGAGGAAACCCAAGACAAACTTTTTACAGCTTAGAATTTTTATTAAAACAATCATTTAAATTACAACAATCCCCCAAAATAGAGAGTAGTGTTCCAGGGTCTGGCCCTGACAGGAGGCAAAAACTCAGGCCCCACAGGGAGAGGTGGGGCTGGATGTGTTTGAGAAGGGGTGGGGCTGCCCTGGAAGCCCACAGCCCGGCCCCAGGGGCTGTGAAGCTCCAGCTGGGTCAGCGAGCAACACTTAAGTCACGGTCCTTGGTTGTCAGCCTCTGGACCTGCCGTTTTGATTTGAAAGAGGGGGGGGAGAGAGAGCTGCCCCTAGGATTACAAAACAGTGACTGAAGAGGTGTTATGTAATGCCGCGGGTGTTGTCTAGCGGGGTCCGGGGGACACGTGAGTAACCGAGGCTGCACTACAGGTGGGAGAGGCGCTGTGGCTGAGGTGGGGGCCCCATCAGGATGACCGAGGCGCTCTGTGTAGGGCAGCTGAGTGCTGACAGTGCAGCCTCTCGGAGTGTCACAGCTGGGCAGCGACTTCGTGAATGGCGCATCTGCCCGAGAACCCTCGGAAGAGCTTATAATGAAACAATCGTGGCGGGGGCCCTGCTCTCAATGGAGGTGGGAGGCTTCCTTACTTGATGGGCTTCCAGCCCTAAAAATGTTCACTTAAAAAGAACACAGGCACAAGTGTCTGAAAACCAACCTCCTCTTTCATCCCTTCTGCTGGAGCTCAAGCCCTGGCTGAAGGCCCCACACTCTCCGCCCACCCATCTTTGGGAGACTCCCACCAGCCTTCATCTCCGAGGAGGGCTGGGTGCTCTGGGCTGGGCAAGGCTCTGCGGGCCTCCAGGTCTGCCCCACGGCTCCTGCCGCAGCTCAGACACTGGCCGGCTCCCTTGGGGCCGCACAGCTTGGCATCTCCCAGACTACACACGGTGGTAAAATAATAATTTTTAAAAAGCCTGACAATGTTTTTATAAACCACCACCATGCTCCTGTGCTCACAGCCAGTTATGGATTAAATGTACAGGTCAGGAGGAAAGTAATGCTCGTGGAAATTCAGGGAGGGGTGGTGAGCCCGAGGAGACAGAGCCTCCGCATGAGGGTCAGACCTTACATTACAAATGAGGACTCCCTCTCGTCTCTGGGGACAAGGACTTTGAGGGATTGGGACACACAAAGGAACTCGTTCAGTCATAGTCACCCACACTTAGTGTTCTGATGCAGAGTCCCATATCCTGTGGGTCCTAAGGGACTGGAGTGACACACAGGGCTGGCTTCCTTGGGGCAAGGTGGCCCATGCAGACGGCAGCCAGCCCAGGACTCCGTTGGGTCAGCCTGACAAGAGCACAAGGCAGGATCGCTGTGAGCGTCTCGACTTCTCAAACCCCACGGGGCTGCCAGAGACCGCTCGAGCTCTCGGACTCTCTTGGCCCTCACGTGTCATTAGTAAGCGCCTCTTCACTGGGTAAGGCTTATCCCCTGCTCTACGGAGCCCCTGGTCACGGTCACGGCGGGGCTACCGGGTGCTGACTAGAGCACGACCAGGGAGTCCCCCAGCCTCCACAGCAGGAGAGGCGGAGGCTGGCTCAGGGTGAAAAAGACAAGTGGCTCCCACCTGCCCCTCGGACCCTGGGTTGGGGGGGCAGGAGGAGGGGCAGTGTGTGTTCTGCAGGGTGCAGATTCCTACATGGATATCTGGCCTCCCAGCACTTCTGCTGGCAGCTAGCACACCATTGCAGCTTCTGCCGAGTTTTCACCCCGTCATGGCGGCCTTTGCACTCCCGACCACCCAGAAGGCAGAGTGCCACCGTGGGGGTACCACTGCGGGTGGGCCATGCTGCTTAGGAGGCCAGTTCCTCCCCAGTGGAGGAAATGAATGTTCTGGAAACCAGGGGTGGGGGTCGGGGGCATCAGCCTCCTGGTCTCCAGGGGCCTGTGCACTTCACTCCCGATGACCACCTCCCCGACTGGGCTGGGAGCTCAGCACTGGACAATAAGGCACACACCCCAGGGTGCCTCTGATCAGGGAAGTAAGGGATCACACATCAGACAAGAAAACACAAATACTTCTTAAGGAACTTAGAGACTCAGGTCAGGAGAACGAGCACCCTCGGAGAGAAGTCTCTGCAGGGCACGGTTCAAGGCAATTGCACGAAGGGGGTTGTGCTCTCCACTCAGCTGGGGGCGGTCCCGGAGCTCCCACGGCAGCTCCCAGCCAGCCCACCTGCGGGTGGCTCCCACGGTGTCCGACCCGTCCTGCTGGAGCTGGGAGCAGCAGCAGTGGTAGATCCTGGGCTGGTGGAGTCACCTGCTAGAGCTCTTCGAAGAAGGCCACTCGGGACTTGGCGCTCTGCAGAGTGAGCTGCAAGGAAGCAGAGGAAAAGTGAAAGGGGAACTCGATTTCCACTCCTCACTACAGGAAGCCGTTCCGCCTTGAGGACTGACCTCGAAGGCGGTTTGCAGGGAAAGGGAAGGTGGTTCAACTACATGTTCAAGAAGCCAGTGGTCAGCCCTGGCTGGAGTAGCTCAGTGGATTGAGCACGGGCTGCGAACCAAAGTGTCGCAGGTTCGATTCCCAGCCAGGGTACATGCCTTGGTTGCAGGCCATAACCCCCAGCAACCGCACATTGATGTTTCTCTCTCTCTATCTCCCTCCCTTCCCTTTCTAAAAATAAATAAATAGAATCTTAAAAAAAAAAAGAAGAAGAAGAAGCCAGTGGTCAACCCAAATAAGATTCCAGATTTGCCCGAGAACTCAAACTAGGAGGCGACAAATGAGGACATGCCAGGAGAAATAGCTGGTGGGCAGAAGCACGTCAGCAGGAAGACGTCATCAATGTCGCCTTTTCAGAGGGCAGGCAGTCCCTAGTCATTTCAATTGACACACAGGTCCCCGTCCCCAGGAGTCTCTGGGGTCCTGTGGTACCCTGCCTGTGGCAGTGCCAGCCGGGGATGCTCACACCCCTCCAACCCCAGGGCTCAGCATCGCAGTCCTCACGTCCTGGGGACCAGCTGGGGCAAGGAGACTTGGCCTCCAGCAAAGCAGGCCTGCGTCAGATGAGGAAGATCTTGTCCCTTCCACTCCCGGTTCCCAGGTGGCCCCAAAGCAGACTTGCCCATGACCTGGCCGCTGAGACGGGTTGCCACACACAAGCTGGGAGGCAATGGGTTCTCGGGGTGGGGCTGTTCCGGCAGAGAGGACAGTGCACTCAGGGGGGTGCTCTGCCAGACACTGGGAGAGCCTCCCCAGGGACGAGGTCTCCGTGTGGCGGGGAAGGTGCTAGAGTTTGTGCTGCTGAACCCCAGTTCCCTGCCTCCGTAGCCCACTTCCCAGGATCTCCCCAGACAGAAACATCTGGCGTTGGCAGCTCCCCGCTCCCCTCACCCCATGCCCTGCTCCCTGCTCTGCTCCTGGAATCGACTCCTCAGGAGAGTTTTCAGGGAGGGAGGACTCGGGACGCAATGCTGTCCATCTTATATGCCCCGAACCCCGTACACTATGTTAGTGCTTTGCACCTAGTAGGAACTCAAACAGCGTTTGTTGAGTGAATAAGATGTAGGCTCTAATGATAAGGAAAGGAGGGATGCGTGGGAAAGCTGAGTGCTCCACATGCGGCCGAGAAGGCCCAGCTGCTAATTCCCCTTCATTACCAGCTCACTGTGTGGCCTCGGTGGACACCCGTGACCTGTCTGAGCCTCTTTCTTCTGCAGTTAAACCACAGGGGCAGGCTAGATGGTCTGGGCCATTCCCTTGACCTCCGGCAGTCTCTGAATCCGAAAAGGCCTTAGTATCATGTATGGCTCTCCAAAGGGTAGGGGAGGAAGATGCCAAGTCAGCCACTTCACCATCAAAGACAGGCGGCATCAGTGCGCTGTACTGAGACAGCTTGAGAGCTGGCTCTTTAAATCCTGCCAAATCTTTTGGCCTTGAAGTTCCCGACTAACAAGCTGCACACGATGGGGGGTGGGGCTGGGCGTGGGGTGGGTATCTGAGCTGTTTTCTTCAGTGGGACCAATTTCAGAAGCGCCTTGGAAAGCCCAGCTCTGATAGGAATGGAGAGAGTTTTCATTTCTTTGCCGAAAAAGAACTCCCTCTAAAAGGGAGCTGTGTTTGGGTGGGTTTCTCCCGAAATGCCACCGGAGGAGAAGAGCCAGGAGGTGTGTGCTCTGTGATCACGGGAACCAGGATGGTAACCGGGAAAAGAAAGAGAACCAGAGAACCTCGGGGACAAAAATCCTCTTGTGGGAGAGCTTAAGTCGAAAGGTGTAACACCCCGAGTCTCTGCTTGGGTCTCTCCCACGCTCCCAGAGAAGACCTCGGGCTGGCTCCTCGGGGACAGGGCCCTGCAGGGCACAGGGCCCTACCCCCAACCTCCCACACAGCCACTACCAGACTGCCTGGCCCAGAGCCACCTGGGCCACTGAGCAGCTGGGTGGTCCTGGGCGGGTTACTTGCTCTGGCCTCAGTTCCCCGCCATGAAGCAGAGGTGGTGGCAGCCCCGTCCTCACAGGGTGACGTGTGGAGTGACTGGGAAGTGCCATGAAGTGCTCGGCAAGCCCCGCGCGGGCACTACAACTCAACAGCTGTTGTTACTAATAGCAGCATAACGTTTCTCCCCCTTCCCCCAGCTCTGGCTCCTCTCCTCCCAGCGGGGGCCCAGGGCAGAGTGTGGTTAAAAGGTGCAGGCGGAAGGCAGGGCTCTCTGGCCTTTGTGGCCTCTGAGGCCAGGCAAATGGATGCCCCCAAGAGGCCTGGCCACTTCCCCAGGCAGGGAGCCCGGGCTGTGGGGGCCTCTGCAAGCTTCCTGCCCATTTGTGCAATGTTGGCTCCAAGAATTCCTGGATCCTCTACCCAAGTTGCATGCTGGCTGTCTCCACAAGGTGCCAGGGGAAGGTTTTGGCAGCTCTGGCAGTGCCAAATTCCAATTACTTGAGCACATGTTTGTTGGGATGCAAAGCCCTCTTTGGGTGGGCAGGACGCTTCCCCCATCCCCTGCCCACACTGCAGGGCGGTGGCTGAGCCTGACCTCTTCTCTTGCAAGGGAAGGAAGTTGTGCCCCAGCCCAAGGAAGGTATACAGCAAAGTCAAGTACTCTGGCCATCAGATGCAGGAAGGCACCGCAGACACATGGCTTAGGAAAGAGGAGTGTGTTGTCTTCCGAAATGCACTAGACTGTTAAAAGGATAGGCAAAGCCGCCGGGCAGAGGCGCCTGACGTGGCCACTGTCACTGAGGGCACTGGGAGCCTCCTGCCTGAGCCCACAGAGACCGGCTGCCACTGCTCCCCCCACCTTCCTGCACAATTCCGTCAGGAATCCTGTCCCCAGAGGAAATCAGCGCACGAGCTGCCTGTTGCTGCCAGAACCCTTCCAATCGCCACCTCGGCCTCTGCCTCCTTCCACCTCAGCAGCATCCTTTCTTTATCTTAGACATTAAAATGTCCTCCTCTTGAAAGCCAGCCAGCACTCCCTGTGTCTTACACAGGTGGGCAAGGCTGGTGTTTGAGAGCAGGTGAGGGACAGTCAGCAAGAAGCAGCCTGGGGTTTCTTCCCTCCAGGTGGGCACGCACAGGCCCAGGGGCAGGGGGGTTTTCCAAGGAGAACTCAGGAGACCTCCTCCCTGGGCGCTGCTGACTGTCTGCCAGCTGCGCTCTGGCTTCCGCTCAGCCGCTCAGCCTCCCACCTCCGCTGGGCGCGTTCCCCTCACCTGTGGGATCCTTCACCACCTGCTCTCACTAAAAAGCTCACTGACTATAACATTTACGGTACAGCTACAGGTGGGAGGTATTCATAAAGGAGAAAGGGAAGGCTCAGGGAAAATGGCACACACCTAGTTACAAACTGTCTCTGTGGGCCTCCTCCGTATACCCGTGAACACAGGCTAACGAGCGTTCTGGTTTGCCCGCCAGCCCTCACGTCGTTGGGTGTATGAGCCCGCATCGGTGTGTGGTCCACCTCCTGGCTCAGGGACTGGCCTGGCTCTCTCTGCACAGCACGCAGAGGTACCGCAGGTGATCCAGCTACGGCCCTCACATCTGGGATGTTGCACTGGGAGAACCGAAGCCAGTCTCACGCACGCCACCCACAGTCCTGCATTTGTGTTCTTTGGTGATTCAGTAGCACCGTTCCATGCCCCTCAGCCAGACCCACTGAGGGGCAGGGGCAGCACCTCCAGGAAGGCGGGGAGTTCACCCAGTGCAGGGGTTGGGGCGCCACGAGCACGCTGCCGTGACCATTCTCCATGGCTGTCCAGGAAGAGGTCTCCGAAATTTCAGTAGGCGGTGAAACCCAAAGCCTTGGGAAGCAGGGCCTCGTGGACAATGGCTGCATCGTCCTGGGACCTGTTGAATCTGTCCCACCTTCTTGAACCCTCCTGAGGACAAGTGGGTGACCATGTCTGCCGTCCACTGTGCAACACTCACACTGAATCCAGACAAGGGCTAACCACCTGCTCCGGGAAATGACGGACGCGCGGGGCCCTGAGCAAAGCCTCCAGCCCCAGGGCTGTTGCCAGCTCCCGCACAGCGGCTAAAAGAACACGAAGTTTCCTCACCAGACACTGGGCTGCCCACTTCTCTCTTCCAGCTGTCTCTTCACATCTGATTAAAATAAGCCGTGTGAATAATACAGGAGGAATTAAGTTCTCTCTTGACTGAACCGGCTGTTCAAGTCTGTCACTAATCCAATTTCATTCCGAGGAGACAAACTTTCTTCTCTTTGCTACAGGTCTGTACAGCTTGGTTTTTATCTTATGGGGGCTCTGACCCACCTGTCGGGCCTGGCCCTTTCTTCACGCCCGGCATTGACAGACACACGTCTGGCAGAGTCGCCTCTCCTCCTGCTCACTTCTCCATCCAACGGCCAGTTGTTCGTGACAGCCACCAGGCAGTGCAAGGGGGAGTGCAAGTGGGGGAGCCGCTTGGCAGAACCAGACCTCCTCACACTTACCAAGCTTTGTGTGGCGTGACCGAACAGACACATCCAATCTAAACAAGTTCAGCTTCGGGAGACACATCTGTCTCCTTAAAAAGAAGGAGGCTAGCCCCCCTGAACCCGAGGAGGGCCTGGTACCCGGCAGGCTCTGCTTCACACAGGCTCGCAGGAGGCAGGCAGACTCCGGGTTCCTCGGGGACCTCAGGCAGCCCATCAAGACAGGAGGATCTGACACCTGCCTGCTCCTGAGAAATGGCCCCAGGGTCTAGAGACAGCAGGCCCGGAGGGCACCTGTGACACGCTGCAGGCTCACCAGTCCCTCCTGGCCCACCCCCCACCGGTAGCTGCAGTCTCCTCCAGCATCAGTCCCAAGAGTGCCCCCTGCTGGGAAGACAAGCACAGGGACCGGGTGGGGGGAGGTGCAGTGCACTGCCAACTCTCAACCTCAAAGCTCCACTCTACAAGTCCTTTTGTGGGGGGGGGCTGCTGCCCAAAGTGATGGGAAGGAACGAAATGTATTCGGGCCCAGAATCTGCGGCAGAGAGGCTGCTTGATTAAGAATGAATTACACTTTCATCAGCACATACAGAAACTGATTCACAGGGCCGCACTGTGATAATCTGGTTCCTAACGCAAAGGGGGGTGGGGTAGGGTGGGGGTGGGCAGGACGCAGAGTCGTTTGGGCTATCAGTGCAGAGAGGAAGGAAGCTCTACAATTAAGCCGGGAGAACAAAACTAATCAGGATTCCTCCAACTAGTCTCTGGGGGCCTCGCCTCCATCCATTCATCCCCAGAGAGGACAAAGGAAGGTGTGTGTGTGGGGGGGAGAGGAGGGGCGGCGGCGCGGGGCTGTCTAATTCATTTCAAACAATAAGACCCACAATGCTGAACCCATTTTAGATACTAACCTAATAATTCCAGGCGCTGAGATTCTGCTTGTCCCATTAAAAAAAAATGCAGTGAAATTGAAATGCAAGCCCTAAAATCATGTTGTACTTCCTCTTCACCACTACATATGTATTGAAAATGAAGGCGGCGGCGGGGGGAGGGCGAGGACACGAAAGAAAACACAGATCCACCGGGGGAAAGCCGACTCTGGAGCAGAAGTTGACAGGCAAATGCAGCAGCAGCAAATTCCAACACACTCTTTGGTCTGGGGCGCGACAAACATACCCCTTCCCAACCAGAGCCGAGGGGGCAGGGCCCATGGAGGCGGGGAGCGGCTGCAAACTGGCCAAATTAAGCTTCCTTGCCGTCTTGCCAGTGACAGCCTGCACCCAAATGCCATCTGGGGGTGTGCATGGGGACAGAGTTATTCCCACACTTATCCCGAAGCAGAGGTGGGATGAAAGGCCAAGTTCATTCCAATGAACGAATCCAATTTGGTATTAGTTACTTTATCTGCTCTAGAGAGAAATCTGCCAGGGAAAACCCAGAGGGTCCCTTTTGTGTGTTAATCCCTTGGGGACCTAAAGCAGCAAAAAGGTGCCTATGAACTGGTGTCTGCCCTTGTGATGCCGGCAGGACCCCTGGCTATTCTGTTCTTCCACCTGAAAAACAGACTAATCTGCCTGATTCACCTCACTGGGTTGGGGGAGGCTAGCTGACAGCTACGGGCACGCTGAGCGAGGACCGTAGAAAAATGATGCAGATATACTGATGTCATCCTCAAATTGCCAATATCAGGAGGGAGATCACGGCGAGGATCATAAGAACAGAACCTCGAGACCGCAGAATGAGTTTGCATCCGCTCTCCTCCCTCCCCCTGTTGCAGCAACAAATCAGGTGCCGGAGGAAAGCTGCACCGTCTTCGGTGCTGAGGGACCGAACGGGGTGTTTTACTGCATCAAATAAGGCCCCATAATGTCCTCAGGCACTAAATGGCTGTAAGATATCCTAGGAGGGCAAGGCAGAATTTAAAAGCTCTCCGATGCCTCCCAAAGGGCAACTGCTTGAGTGGGTAAAATCTACCAGCCAAGAAAGGACTGGGTCGTGATGTTTTGGAAAAGAGAATATTCTATCTCAACAGCTACCGGAAACAAGCCAGAACACTGTAGGCCCTCAGCAGTTAAGAGGAACCCGGACACTTGGTTTGTGCGAATGTGAGGTAAGAGTGGCCTTTAGGGGTGAGTCTGGGCATCCTAGGCAGGAGGATCCCACTCCCTGAGACCAGCCCCCACCTCCCAGTGCCTCCCCTGGGTTTCCCCGGAGCCAGGTCGAGTCCAGATCACGGGCTGCTCTCTTATCTACATTAGCTGGTGCTCCTCACTAAGCCCACTCCCTATCCCACTCCCATTCCCTTTTCTCCTCCTCCTCCCTCCCCGCTCTGTGGAGTTCCAGCAAACAGCACAGGGAAGGTTCTGGAGCAGGGTGGCCAGTTTCCAAAGCAGACAGCCGCCGGGATCCCCTGACCGGGGTCGGGGAGAGCTGGACACGTTAACCACACATGCAGCACGAACTGTTTAGTGGCCTTCTTCCGGGCAGATGACACAGACCAGAGGTCACCAGGGAGGCTCTGGCCGTTAGCTTTAATTGCAGGAGACGCCTTTCATGAGTATTGGATCTCGCCCTGTGATTTATCACTTCCCCGGGTGTGTTAAGTGTTCTACCTCACTTCACTAGCTCTGCATCTCCAAGGGAAGTCCGTGCAAATTGAAGATGATATTGGACTTTTGTGTCTTCCTGATCCAAGAGAGGCTACAGCCTCCGTTAAATGCCAAAGCTCCTCGTTCCTGTTTTTCCACTGGCGGAAACCACGGCTGGACCTTGATAGGGCAGACCATTTACTAATGAAATAAGCTTTCTAAGCTCTGTGACCCCTGAGATTTCTCATCTGTCGATTTCCTTGGGAATCCTGTGCTCCCTCGGAGACTGCGGGCACGCAAGCGATGATGAACTCGCTGGCATGCAGACCAGGTCGGGAGTGGGGAGCGAAACCTGTCCCCCGAGAGGGGTGGAAGCAGGGCCCTGAGTGCAGGAGCTCCAGGACAGCATTTTCACCTCCTAAGTGTGCTGCACAGCTCGGTCACAGCTGGCCATCACTCCCCTGATCAGCACTGCGGCTCTGCAGGCAAGAAGCTCAAGCCCATGACACCTGTGTCCCCCTCACCCCAGCCTCACTGCTGGACCTCACTCTCTCACTCCAGGGACTGAGATGCCTGGAACATGTGTGGCTATCGATCCCCACCCCCCTCCCCAGGAAAGGAATCTAGGTTCCCAAGGGTGGCTTTCGATCTCGATCCTAGGTGCCACTCTGATTCAGACGGCAAATGCCAAACAAGTTACCCTGATTATCAATTGGGGCAAAGTGGAAATGTAGCAGGTACAGCCCCGGCACCGGCAGGTGGCTGGTCATCATCGGTCCTGGCCCCAGGGACCGCCAGAGTCTAACAAATGGAAAGTATGTCAAATATCATGTATAGCAAAACCACCACTACTTAATCTAGTGATGCTAGGTAACTTCAATTGTATTAAAAGCCAAGTCTATCCTTGTATTAACCCTTGATTCATTGGAATTCTTGATTAACTGGAGCCTGGCTTTGAAAACAAGCTTCCGTTGAGACGTGAAAAAGAAAACGGTCCTAGCAGCAGCGCAAATCTGACTATGAATCAAACCTCATTTGTCTATACAACAATAGCTCAGTGAGAACTAATGGTCAAAATCAGGCCCCTTGAAGCATTTAAACGATCTGAATCACTACAGAAAGAGGAAAGGCGGAATCGCATCAAGGTGGAAGAGTACAGTCAGACTCCGAAACGTCTCCCGACCCAGGCTGAAACAAAAGGGGATTTTCTGCTTGCCCCCGTGCTAGCCGCGACGTCCAGGAAGCCAAAGTGGATCGCCACGGGTCACTATTGAGCAGATGACCCCGCTGGCCTGCCCAGTCCAGCAGCTGGTCACCCCTGCTCAGAGCATGCCCAGTGCTGGGCATTCCAACACCAACACGTGGAATGCAAGCTGAAGAAGTAGGAATCTGCTAAATAAAAGTGCCACACATGAACCGAGGTTCATGCCACGGGTTCTTGGAACCACTGACAGCTCGAATCCATCTTATAATGAGATCCATCTGGGATGTTAATAGCTAACCTCTCTTGCTTGGAGAAGAACCACAAATAGGATATGTTTATGCCAGATCTCATTTTTTGGTAGAAAGCTTCCAATGAGCTTATTTTATTCCAGTTGCAGAAACCTCGGCAAGGACTCCAAAGGACACGCCCTACGTGACTGTCGGACACCGGTGCCCTCACTGGGTACGACGGGGGATTGGGTGAGGAGCAGAGGCAGGATGTTATGTCATTGTCACGCATAATAAAGTCTCTCCGCTGCCTGGGCATGTGGGGAGAGTATGAACTGTGGCAGAAGGAAAGAGGAATCACTCCATTAGTTCTCTCAGCCACCGCCGGCCGCCCGGCACCTGGGTGCCGACCACTGAGCCGTCCCAACCTGAGTTCACTGCGATCACAGCTCCAGCCCGTGCCGCTGAAGGAGGAGGAGCTGAAGCAGAGACGGCCTTCAGGGGAGCAGAGAGACAGACGGTCCACGGAGATGGGCCGCACATCGACCCCTGTGCTATTATTGCTTTGCTCTCCTTGACAAGAAAATGGATGCGCACAGACAGGGGAGGTTCTGAAGGAAATGCGTGAGCACAGGTAGCCCTTTCACTCCAGGACCAGAAGCTGTCAGGTAAGACCATGGGTCTGCAGAGGCTGACACCACAGGAAAGTCTTAATCTTCAGTTAAAGACATCGGTCTTAAAAACACCGGCATGTACCCCATTTCCATGCGCGGGCTATTATCTGAGAAGTACGTACACCACCAAGACGAAAGACTTTTAGACAGACCTGATTGGACAAGAAGCGGTGACCTCCTCCAGACCAACAGTGACACGAGATGTGAAGGACGACCAGTCCTAAGCACCAGTGACATGCTCTTCAGGATGAGACAGCCCTCTGCACCCCTGGAGGCTGGCCTGGCCCCACGGTGCGGGGCGGGGTGCCTGCTCTCAGACTCAAAGCATGCTGCGGCCAGTACCCAGGTGCCACCTGCCCTGGGGCGGGGTTGGCATGGCCTGGGGACAGAGACAGGCAAGCTCATGCATGGGTTAGTATCACAGAGGGCAGTACCATCACCACATAGAGAGTACCTGGGAACAACCTACTTTGAGGGCTCAAATGCAGATAGGTCTTCTGCCTTGGGCTTGAGGCTAAACCAGCAAAATAAAATGAAGAAAAACAAAAACATACCCTGTGATATCAACAATGCCACATGTGCCATTTGCAAAATGCTCAGACAGCCTGAAACTGTGACAAGTGACTCTCTGTTTGTTTTCATGGCTTGGAAATGGGTCTCTCCAGCTTTCAACACTCACAGTTCCTGTGGCTGAGGCCCGCTCACTGCCGCAGCAGCAGAGATGAGGCCGCTCCCGGTACCCGGGTGTGTGAGCACGGGGCGGCTGCTCCTTCGAGGCCTGACTGGCCAGCCCACTGGCCCAGTCACCATCTGCTCACTGGCTGAGGCCTCACTTCAACTCCCCTTTTGTTAACTGTTGGATAATTTGGTTTTGGAAGGGAAACGCAGTAAATGGCAGAAGCCAGAGGTGGGAAGAATGTGGAATGTGCTAAAGCCTCTCCTTCTAGGTCACGCTATTCAAAGGAACTCTCTACCTGGTGTCAGGACTAACTGCAGTCAAGAGAGAGAAGTCAAGGCTCCTGATTCTACCCACCACTAATGGCAGGTAGTTGTCAGATGCAGCTTAACCACTGAAAACAGATATTCCTTAAACTGGGAGACCGTTTTAAAGACTAAAGGTAAGAGTATACACTTAAACATATCTAAACGATCATTCTCTAAACCTGATGAACAGTCTTCTCTTAATGACACCTGCTTGGCAGGTGTTACCTGGCCCTGGGCTATCAGTTAGGAGCCGACGTGAGGTGGCAGGGGAGGACCTTTCTGCTTTGCCCAACATTGGAGAGGTACGCTATTGGGCTGATGTTTAGGATGGAAATGAACTTCCTCTAAAATGCTAACAACTCAAAATATTCAGTGCAGAAAGATGTGAAACCATTAACAACCTCTTCTAAAACATTAAGGTTCTTCTAGATTACTTCCTTTTAAGGATGAAAAAAGTGAAACATTCAGAATTTGGTTTCTAAATCAAGAACAGAGCTTTATAGTCCTTGCCACTTAAAAAACATAAAAAGTCTAGAGGGAGAGTCTATTCTCAACAGCCTCCACCTTGTTTCGCTTTCTCATTAAGTAAGGCAGCTCCCTGGGCAGAACTCCCCTCGGCTTAAAAGACAGAATTGCTTTACTGCTAAATGATGGATCAAAACCTGTCCAGGAACGGCAATTCATTTCATCATGAAATGCTGTGTTAAAAGCTCCCCTTCCTTCAAGCCAGTGGGTTCACTGGCACTGGCAGATTAAATTCCCTTTTAGTCAAGAGTCAAAAAAATTTCTCTCAACAAACTACATATAAAAAATGACCACGGTCTAATGACTCGGCTACTGAGGAAACCAGATGCCGACCTCCCGTTTCATTGAGGACGGCCCCGGTCGGCAGAAGACAAGAGGCTCGGTACCTTCTTGATGGTGTTGTGCTTGCTGCTGGTGCCGCCCCGGTCAGAGTTCTCGTTGTGCAGAATGTCCAAGGCTGTCTCCCGCTCTTTGAGCTTCAAGGCCTCGATCTCAGTCTTGAGTTCGTTGAGCTGCTCCTGCAGATGCTTGCTCTTCTCCATGTACTCCACTCTGCCGGCAAGAGCACACTGCATCAGGGCTAGGGCCGACAGCAAGCCCTGTCAGGGCGGAGAAGCTCCGGGCCTACCGGCCGCTCGGCATGGGCTCCTGGGCCCAAAGCCTCGGGTTTATGACCCTACTTGTCCACTCGGGGGCCATGGGAGGTTGGGCTAGTCACTTAACTGGTCTGAATCGGTTTCCTCATCCCTAAAACTGGGATAATGATCATTGGGCTGTGGTCAGAATTAAATAAAGGAGAGTGTAGGAAATTCCTCTTCCACCCTACTGTAAGCTCTCACAAAGTACTCTACAAATACCCATTGAAACAGATAGCTTTCAGTTCTGCACAAAAAACCAACTCATGAAATAAGCCCCCTGGCATCCAAAACAATCTTCTTGTCTCAGCCCTTGTTGGAGAAGTAATTCCATTCAAGTGACCTCTTCTGACTGGCCGTGGCCACCTCCCTGCTTATTTTGGGGGGACATCTAAAGATGATGGGCGCTCACTCAGCCAACATTAGGAAGAAAAAAACCCCCACCATCGCTTGCAAGTAGACACTGTATCTACGAGGGTGAAAATCCGGAGCTCATCCTCAAAGTGTCCAACTGCAGGGGCACGGCCCACGCAATGCAGACACCAGGGAATATTCTGTAGTGATTCCCATGTGAGTATATGGACTCTGCAAAATGTGCACGGGTTATAAAGTATGAAAATAGAAACTATAAACGGCAGGGCACAGAGAGAAGTAGCCGCATGCCGATCACAGCCATGTAATGCTGGTGGTGCCCCGGACGAAGGTGAACGGCTGGAAGGGGAACTCCAGCAGAGGACACGGCAGATAGAGACTCTGGTTCCATACCTCAGCATGAGGGCCCAGGGATCCACAGCCCGGCTCGTGGTTGTCCACCATGGGCTCCAAGGAGACACTGTCCCCAGAGGGCTGGGTTGTCCCCAGGATAGTGTATAAAGAGAAAACACAGAGGCTTGGATGGGCTCGGAGCTGAATCCTGGTTCTGGCCCTCATCAGCTGTGTAACGTGAGTGAGTTCCTTAAATGCTCTAAATCTGGCTTCTCATTTGTAAACGGGAACACTAAAACCTACCTGTGATGTCAGTTTGTTGTTAGTTAATGCGAGTGAAATAAGATAAGAGCTGAAACACCCTGACACCCAGGCACTCAGTCCATGGTAGCTACTGAGACTGTTTTGTGGCAAGCCAGGCACGGATGGCCATTTTACCCCCGGCTGGGAACTGGGGGGACCTCGGCTAGGCTTCCTCTGCAGTGGGCCTGCTTCCCACCCCGGATCCACTTCCAGTGGCCAGAAGATGCAGGAGGACAGAGCTGCAGAAGCTGCTGTGAACAGGGCCTGTGGGGCCCAGCCCAGGGAGAGCCCACGCAGCAGGGTGGCCAACCTGGACGTTTGCTTTCCTCAGCCTTGAGCCTGAGGTTCTTCTCTCTTCCCCTTGTTCTAAACCTGGAACGTCACAGATCCGAGCCGCCAGAGAACACAACTAGGAAACATGTTCTGCTACCTTGTTAGGGCACTATCACACACTCTGCTACGATGTGAACAACAGTCTGACTACTGGAGATCCCTGAGAGCCAGTCCCGTGCTTGAGGCGAGGTTTCGAGCCACTACAATCTCCAGGTCACCAATCAAGTATCATTTTTATCCTGGAAGATTGAATGCTGGTCTGTAGTCCTTCATTTCTAATTAGGGAATTCTTCCTCCAGGCAGTGAGGGCAGAACAAACCTTTGCAGGAGCTGGCGAAAGGCTGCTGCAGCGACCCCCCCGCTTTCCCTAGGCCCGGGCCGACTCGCTCTAGTTCACCGGTTGCCCAAGCATGGAATGGGGGTGGGGCGTCTACGTACTTTTCTTTCTCTATCTCCATGGAAAGTCGCTTCATGTCAGTATCCTTGAAGTCGAAAGATGGGCTGTCCCCAATGAGGTTGAAGCTTGATATGTCAGGAGGCAGCGGTGCTGGAATTGGGTTCATGGGCTACAAACGAGAAATCTGCAGTTATTAGGAGGTTCAGGTTCTACAAACGCAGGGACCCTCCCGTGTTAACCACCGACCCTCTGGCAGCCACCAAGGATGTAGGCGCAGTGTGGGCCCAGCCCCCTAGCCCCACCACAAGCCCCTATCACCATCATCTTCTTTGACTCCACAGTTCTATTTGAAATTTATTCTAGCAACATAGCCACGTGTACGTGCAAACATTTGCATTCAGCGATGTTCCAAATTCCTGTGGTTTTGTTCTTAATTGCAAGAGAGAGCAGACTAAATACCCATCCACTGGGGACTAGTCAGATGAATTATAATCCCTCCATACAATGAAATTGGTGATATGAGCTCCTCCAGAACTTATTGATTTATTTATTGCTAGAACAGAGTATAAAGTCTGCTCAAATGTGTGTTTTAGAAACACACACATCTGTGGTCTCCAGCCCAGATGAGCCTCAGACAACTCTGGTCTCAGCTGCCATCTGCCTGCAATCACCTCAGAGGTCCCCAAGAAGGACCGTTGGCCCAGTCAACCCACCGAGCCATGAGAGAGAATAATGCAAGGATGTTTCAAGCTATATGGCTGGCTTGGGGTGGCCTGTCGCATGGTCACAGATAATCAGCACAGATGACAACAGGAAACTGCTCCTATTTTCCTCCACCTTGAACCTGGGGCAGCTCATGCCTCTGTGCCCTGTGCACGTCTGTGCTGTGTGTGTGGATGTGCAGTGCAAGCATTTGTGCGGTGCACACATCTGTGCACTTGCCTGGAATACCCTACTGTCTCTCCCATCTGGTTAGTTCCTACTCATCCTTCAGGAGTCAGCTCAGGCGCCAACCTGAGCCCCTCCTGCCCCTCCAGGCTGGGCTAAGTTCCCCTCTAGGCACCTGGGCACCTGGTGTCTGTATAAAGACTTCCCATCTGCCTGCTAGTATATGGGACAGAACAGGAGTGCAAACAGTTTGCTGAACTGAGTGCCCCCCGCCCCCGACAAGAAGGCTTCTCTATTTGTTTTGTGACCCTATTTAATTGAAGTCTGTCTCCCTGTCCCAAAACTGAGTTTGGAAGCTGCTTCTTGCATGGCAATAGTTCACATGAGGTATGGAGGGTATCCCTGCCCAGAACTATGATTATGGTATACGGTATATACCGGTAGTTGAAGATTACATTCAGCTTGGCGCTAAGAAGCTAGAGAGTAAGTTCTCTTGAGGATGATTTGGGACTACATTACTTAGAACGAGGAAAACATTCCAGAGCTGTAACAGGCCCTGTTGCTTGTTATCTTGGCAACCAGAGAAGTGACTGGCTAGTCCAGGGCCAAATGGCAGACCAGGCGTTCTGCCCAGACCCCAACTGCAGGTCCTCTGCACCACTCGCTCTGCCGTGCATTTGCCCTGAACAGTCCCCGTCAAGGAAAGGAAGGCTACCAGGTCTTGGCAGCCCCTGTTCAGGCTCACCGGGTATGTGGGCTTCGTAGTGATTTCCAGGAGCTTTTGCTTGGCTCTCCGCTCTGCCTCACGGGCTTCCTGCAGGTCCTGCTTCAGCTGATCAGCCTCCTTGGCCCTGCAAGAAAAGGAGGAGCCGTCACCTCCATGGAAGACGACAGGTGGAGGAAACAGACCCCCCTCTCCTGGTGACCCCCCTAGAGCGGTGGGACCTGGGTTAATCCCGAGGAAGGCACCAGATTGGACAAACAAGGATGGTAGAGGGTGGTGGGTGGGGCATTTACAGAAAATCAGAACTTCCAAGCTAGGAACAACACTCCCAGGTGTTGTTCTGCTGCAACTGGTAAATCTAAAGTGGAAGAGCAGGGCAGTCTGTGGGGAGAAGAGTTGAGTATAATAAGCCTTTGTAATTGGCGGCGGGGGAGGACAGTTGGGCTGTAGGCCCTCTCTACTGCATTTCTGGGTGAGAGCGGGATGAACCAAGGAAGAATCTGGTGGATCGAAGGTCTTATGCTGGATTACAAAGGGCAGGAGGTGAAAGAACGGACCCCCAAAGCCCTCCTACCCCCCAAACAACTGCAGGCCAAGTGCCCACATCCTCAGGCACCAGTGGAGGGGCTCGCACTCAGATGCAGGTCCTCACCCACAGGACAAAGGATCTAACCCATCATGCCTCACTCATGGGGGAAGCGATCCGAACATGGAAAGAAGGGGGCCCGGGCAGGGCAGAAAACAAGGAACTGTGTTTTTGGACCAATGCGCACAAAGTGGAGAAGAAAACTGAACAGATTATACCTTGGTAGCGAAAAGCTAAATTCAGATGTTCGAAATCAAAGGAGCCAAACGCTGTGGGAACATGCCAGAGTTTATCTGAAGGCTGCAGGACTAGAACAGTCCAGAGCCTGGAATACTCTTTGAAAAGTACTGACGACAGTTCCATCCTTCAACCTGGCTGGGAGCGGGCCATCCTGGCCGGGAGCGGGCCCTTTCCTCCCATCTGCTGCAGGAGCCTTGGCTCCGAGGAAGGCCTGCAGGGAAGTGGGACCTGGTTTCTACATTAAAGGTAAGTAGCTGCTGTCTCTCCACATGCCCCGTAAATGAAAAGGGAAACAAATCACATTTTTTAAATGTACGAAGAGCTTCCTTATATCTCCTCAGCTAAAGGCAGTCTGTGGACATGCTTGACGGGTTTCCTGCAAACACGGTATCAGAGGGACAAGGGCTTATCACAAAGGCACAGGCATGACCCGAGGTCCACTCCACAAGAGAGCTCCAAGCTTCCTTCCAATAGCTCCTGCCCAAAACTGGATTAAGCACCAGTCCCCACCAACCCAGCAAAAAAGGAGCCTCTCCCCTTCCCAGATGCTAGAGAAGCAGCTGGAGGACAGTTGCAGCCATGCTCTGCCTCAGGGCAAGGTCAGGACTGAGCAGCCCCTCACCTGGGCCCTAGGGCCCAGGACCACCCAACCCCCCACCTCTGACCTCCTCTCTGACTCTTCAGCCATCTTCAGCGCCAGCACCTCGGCCTCCAGCACTTTCTGCTCCATCAGGCGCTTCTCTTCCTCTGTCCGAATGGCCGTGGCCTTGATGCGCTGCATTTCCTGTTCGGCCTCTGCAGCCTTCTGTGCCAGGAGTTTTGCCTCCTCCTCAGTGATTTGGGCCTTTTCCGCCAACAGGTCAGCCGTCTCCTCAGACCGCATCTGGAGGGAAGAGCGCCGTCAGCTGGGGTGGGGATCACGCACCTATTTTCCCACCAGGTATGAGCTCAGACACTCAGGTAGGTCAGCAAGAACCAGAGCCTCCGATTCCTTGGGGCCCTTCCCCTGAATGTCCCCCCACAGATGACACCCTGGCAAACAGATGGCAAGCCACACCCCTCAACTTTTCAGAAGGGCCCTTCAGGTTCCTCCATGGGGAGCAACAAGAAAGCACCTTTCTGGAGTCCCCATTTGAGCTGAGGTTTATGCTTTACAAGGGAGAAAACCAACTTAACTCTGTTCTCGTTTTTCCTTTTAAATCAGTTCCAGACCAGGGGAGTCTTTTTCCCCTGGGGCACATGTAACGATGTCTGCAAACATTTTTGATTGTCGCAAATGAGACAACCAAAGTAAGGTGGTACCTCCAGCATCTAGTGGATAGAGACCAGGGACACTACTAGACACCCTTCAGTGACAGGACAGACCCACCACGAAGGACGATCCGGGCCAGGGTCAGTGGTGCTGAAGCTGAGAGGCCCTGCCTTAAAGGCATCCCATGGTGAAAAGGAGTTTGTCTGCATGTGAACTCAGGTTAAATTTGCTTCTGCCTGCACAGGTGGAAAGGAAAGGCACTATTTTTTTTTTTAAGCTTAAATGTCAAAGCAAATGTCACTAATCTGTGGTCCTCGGGAGGTCTCACGCCAGCAAGCTGAGCAAGACCCCGAGCAGCCTCCCGGGCCCCAGACCCCAAATCACCAGTGCTTCGTTGGCCATTGTCGCTTCTTCTTTCATCTGCAGCAGCCTCCTCTCCAGCTCGTCCCTCGTGCGCTCAGCCTCCTCCCTCATCTGCTTCTCTCGAGCCAGGCGCTGCCGCTCCATCTGGGGGCGGGGACGAAAGCAGTCACTGAGAGAAGGGGCTCCCAACCTACGGCGCCACAGGGATCCAGGGAGGCCCAGCAAGCCAGCGTCTCCCCTTTGGGGACCCTTTCCTTTTGGTAGCCAGTGTCACGCTTGTCACCTACCACTCTCTGCCCTTCTAAACCAGCTGTCAAGTTGAAAGCTATGCTCCTTGGAGGAACATCTCGTGGTAACCAAACCAACAAAGAGCCAAGTCAGCTCTCTACCTGGATTGAAGGGGGCATTCTTACACAGCGTATGCTGAACCAGCCACCTTGCCAAAATCCCTTTTTGTGCCGAGAGTCCTCTCGGGACTCTGCCCTGAGGCTGACGGGACACAATGCAGGCTCCTTCTCCCTGGGATGGAGCCCCAGAAATAGACAGCTTTCTCCTCTGGGTGGATGAGCCACCCCGCCATTTCTAATGTGCACAGACCTCTTCCACACCTCCGATTTCATCCACACCAGAGCTCCGCTCTTGCCTCTGACCCACAGAGGAGACGAAATCACTCTGCGTGCTGCACCAGTAGTTCACACATTGTCTTTCACAGGGGGAGGCTGCAGCAGCCTCCGCACAGATTCACATGGAGGCACCTCCTGAGCCAGGCCTGCGACAGGAGGGTGCCAGGCGGGGAGCACAGCCCCCATCCTCCAGGCGCCAGTACAAAGGCGCTGCCACCTCCTTTGCCTTCTGGATCACTGTATTAATTGGGCCACATGCCGAGCTTAATAAGGCAAACAAGCACAGGACAAGTGCTGTTCACTGTGATCCGGCTGTACTCACTGAATTCGGGAAACAGAAGCCAGAAGTGACCACTGCACCATTTTCTTCCTTAAATAATTAAAGCACATTTAATTACTTCTTGCTTCAATCTTCTCCCAAACACAAGATTTCTAAGATTGCTGCTTTTTTCTAAGTACTAAGCAAAAAAATAAAAATAAATAATGCAGTGGACCTCGAAGGAATAATGAAAAGACAAGCCATAAAATACTGTAAATTCTTCTCTAATTTTCAATGAAAAGCTTGGCCAATTTGTTCTCTAATTTCCATCATATTAGGATTTCCATTCGGCGGATAACTGTGTGTCCATTAGTCTCCACGTGAAATAGCCCAGGCAGTCCCCTTCCATCCCCAGCACTGCACTTCCCCGCGGCCTCCACCCCCTTAATAAGGGACCTCTCGTCTGCAAAGTGGTTTAAGCAGTAATGACTTTCAGGTTCAATATGTCCTTTGATCCGAGACAGAGAAGAGGCATCATCAGCCCCCACGTGATAGATGAGAACACTGAGGTCTGGAAGTTAAGTCATTCACTAGCGTCACAGGCTAAGTTTCACAGCTGGCTCCAAGGTCACTGTCTGTTTGGAGAGGGGGGCGTGGAGCCCCGACCTGCAGTTGCCAGATCCCAGGGACGTGCCTCTGCTGTTCTACAGGCAGTGCAGGTCGGGGCGTGTTCCCGCTATTCGCTGCCACAGCCTGCAGGCTTACACACTCCTCACTGTTTTTAGATCTCTCGCTTCTAAGCTTTGCTCTGCTGCAAAAGAAGTCAGACGGGGCTCTTCTGACAGTTGCCGCCGTCACACTGTGCTGGCTCAAGAGCATTTCTTTGTCCAACAAAACCCGTTCCACCACCCACAAAGCGTCCTGAAGAGCACATCTATGGCCTGCCATCTCAGAAAGCAAAGAGATGGGGAGTTGAAAGCACAGGATCAAACTGGGCATTTCATTCTGAAACTCAGGGCTGGGAGCCAGACCCGCCGGAGTTCCCAAATCAGAGACAGCTGCGCACAGACTAATTATTACACCTTCTTGAGCCCGCAAGTCCTGAGGGCCGCTGACTGCAGCTGCTGCTATGCTATCTAGTAGTTTGTCCAAAACCACAATTAATATTCTCAGGGGTGAGGCTCAGATTAGTTGTGTGGATTTCGGTGAGTCAGAAAGGCCTATGAGTAGGAAACAATGATGCAGATTGTCCAGTCTGCTGATAGGCGCTCGGGCACCTCCCGTGCTGGGTGATGTGCCGCTGGGCTGACCTACAGTGGGGAAGTGCAGCCAGAGTCTAATTAGCATTCCAGCAGCAGCATTGAAATGCTGCCATGCATTCTATCACCATCTAATTAGAAAAGGAGAAGGCCGGGCAAAGGAGACAGGAGAGACAGGCAGGCAAAAGGAAAGCTTAGCTGGAGGGAAGAGAAATGGATGAATGGGTGGGGACGTGCAGGCTTGACTATTTCTTTCCACTTCACTTAAGTGGAGGAATAACTAGAGACATTTCTTTTAGATAGGCTATTAGAGTTTATCCCTCAGTTCCAGAGCTGACACCCTACCAGCTGGGCATCAGCCAAGAAAAATCCAAAAGATATAAAATAAGAATACGTATTCTCCATGACCAAAGGACTCTTGTCTGCCGGTAACCACTCCTCACCCGCTGGGCCAAGGCCACCAGGTGGTACCAGCAGTCCAAACACGGTCTTGCTCACCTGCTTTCTAGCTTTCTCCTCCCTGGCCTGGGCTTTCATCTGCTGAACTTCCAAAGAATCGGCCTTTCTTCTCCTCATAAAAAGGTCATGGTTCCCAATACACAGCTGAAGAATCTGTGGCCATGGAAGCGGGAGAAATGTTAAACCCACAAATTTACTTCACCGCTTACAGCTCACTGGCGCTGCAGCGTCTCGGTCTGAGAGCTCTCGTGGGCAGCGGAAAGGAAGCCTGGAGAGGGGAGCGTGGCGTGAAACACCAAGGCCGGAATCCTGGCCTCTCGTGCTGTCAGCGCCGGAGAGAGCAAACTGAAGGGGCCTCAGATGCGCCAGGGGACAGGAGGCTAGATGCTCGTATTCCCTGGACTCCAGAGAAAATACTGCCCACGTGCACCAGGAAGAACGTTCGTAACAGCTTTGTTAAAAGGGCACAGAAGTGAAAAGCACTTAATTGTCCATTAATAGGGGAATAAGAACAGTATATATACCTGCAGCCACATGATGGAATGCCATACAGCAGTGGAAATGAAGGGATCATATCTTTAAGCATCAACATACATAAATCAAAAATAATGTGTAAAATGGGCAAGTGACAGAGAATACAGCTGCAAGCATTTATACAAAACTTAATAGTATATTTGTTTTGCCATAAAAATAAAGTTCTGATGAAAAGCAAGAGAATAATGAGCTTAGAATAATGATCGCCCTTGAGGAGGGGAGAGGGGGAGACTGGCTAACATGAGGGGTTTCAACAGTATTGGGGTGTGCTATTTCTTAAAGCTGGGTAGTGGGTACATAGGCACTTATTTTTATTATTCTTTATGCCATATATATGCACATTATACTTATTCTTTTATATGTATGAAGTACTTCAGTAAAAATAATTTTTACAAATGCTTCATCATAAAACTTAGGTTTGACTCTTTAGGTTAAGCTAAAGAGAAGAGTCTTTCCCGGCCTATCAGAACAGCATGTACCGAGATGTCACTCTGATACTGGTTCAAAAAGGGCGTTTGATTTCTCAGAAAAACTGGAGCTATCGGTAATAAAAACCAGGATCTCAGCTTACCAGCTTATTGACACGCAGCTTTGAGGAGTTGAACTTGAAGACATCGATTTTCTTATCCAATGGTTTAATAGTAAACTGAAGGAAGGAAGCAGAAAACAGGTTCAGGCTGACAGCCTAGAATGTTACCAGCAACTGGGGAATTCCGCAAAAGCAGCCACCGCCCTGGCAAAGATCCAGCACATGGCTGTTTCCCTGCCCCGGCTTCCCAGCACCCAGGCATGACCGCAGGGTGAGCTACGGTGGATTATAAGTGTCTGAGGGCACCAAGTCCTGGACTGAGAAACCTGAAATACAAACCCTTGACAGGCCCAAGCTCCAGGCTAATACTGGGAGGGCCACACCAGAGCCTAAGTCATGGCTGTGACTTTAGGAGGCTCACAACCTGGTGAAACTAGATGAACAACAGTCGATGACTCAAGAAATTACATCACATATTATTAGTGCCTCATTGGGTGGCACACATCACAAATGTCCTGGAGGATTCACAGTAATCTACCATAAGTAGGAGGGGACTTAAGCTGGTAAAGAATATGACAGAGAAGCGAAAAAGCAGGATAGAAGGACATTCTAGACAGGGGAACAATAGAAATAAGGCAGAGATGGACAAATGAGCAGTGTGTGTGTGTGTGTGTGTGTGTGTGTTCTTGACATTATAAGCTCTTTGATGACTAAGAGGATACTGTGGGCTTAGACTGGGAGGGAGGCTGGGTTGGGCTGGGGCTGGTGAGGTGGCCTGAGAGTAGACAGAGGGGTTAAGATTCGATGTGACAGCATATGGGGGATAATTCCAGGTTTCTGACCAGGGGGATTAGTAGATGCAAGCTGATGACAGAAGGAATACAGTAAAGCGTGAAGACGAAATCAAAGGGAGAGAACAATGAATGAGAAGGATAGGGTGGTAGCTGATGGGAGAACCCAGGGCCAGGCCACTAAGAAAGGTACCACATAGAGAACAAATGGCAACCGTTGTTGTCAACTATTCCTGATGAGACCAGACAGGTCCTAGGTTTCAAAGACGCACTTAAAAAATACGTTTGGAAAGATGCCCTGGCTGGTGTGGCTCAGTGGATTGAGTGCCGGCCTGTGAACCAAGGGGTCGTCGGGTCCATTCCCAGTCAGGGCACATGCCTAGATTGCAGGCCAGGCCCCCAGCTGGGGACGCGTGAGAGGCAACCACACATTGATGTTTCTCTCCTTTTGTTTCTCTCTCCCTTCCCCTCTTTCTAGAGATAAATAAAACCTTTAAATAAAAAAATACATATGTTTGGAAAAGATCTATTCTTGGGTATTTCTTTCTCATGCTATATTGCCCAACAAGGGGTTAGCACAATGAAGACAGAAAACAACGCTTTGTTTAGCTTTTGGTCAAGTTCACTTAGAAGCAGTATCACCCTGTGTAGGCTGCTATTTGTGAATTTTGTGAGCTTATTTTGGGCCTTGCTGTCAAATCCCGGAGCTGTCAGCAGGAAACCACAAGTAGTGGGGAAACCGCAGGCTCTGCACCACGCCAGGGCTGCACAGAGAATCAATGAATCACTTAAAATAACCCACATTTCTGTTTTGACAGCATGGCTGTCATACATAAGTACTAAGACTACTTCCTATTATGTCAAGTCAGCTTGGGGTCTTTTTACTGTGAGAGTTATTGACGTGATGGAACATGACGGTGCCTTGCCCCCAGAGAGGGCGCATTACGGTCTATGACATCCGGCCACACGAAGGGGGGCTTCAGGCCTTGGGCTCTGGGAGAACGCGTGTTTTGGGAGCCTGTAGCACACAGATTTGTGGATGTGCAATAAACAGACTTTATAAAATTGGAAATGAAAAACTACCATACCATGGCACACCTACTGCTTTAAGACATGTGGAGCTTTCAAGTTAAGTACTTTAAAAAATAAATACCTTAAATGCTCATCTCCTGGGCTACTGACAAAAATTGGAAAGCCAGAATGTTTTGAGTTAAGAAGCTCCATCTGTCTCATCAAGCATGGCCGAGTAGATCTCAACCACGTATTAGGAACCAGGAGCCTGCCGTTCCTCTCTCTGAGCTGCTCCGAGGAGAGAAAGCAGGAAGTCTGCCTAGGAGTGGGTGGGGGCTCTGCAGGCAACACGAACCATTGCTGTTACTATCCCCACACTCAGGTGTCCCGGCTGTGTGGGCACCAGTAAGTCACTGCGCACTGTCTGGGCCTGCTCTCCGCTGCCTAGTGCCCTGTGGCTTCAGGGAACCTGGCACTTAGCCCCTGCCATTCCACTCCCCAGACACAGGTCACCTGAGCTCTCTACGTCTCTGCTTCCTGCGACGTGATAGAGATGACCAAACCCAGCCCCTGTTCTTACAGCAATGTTCGTGGGAGGACGAGCAAGTGGGGGTGACAGTGCCTGTACAGGCAAAAGCACCGTATCACCGTCACTCTCGTTGCCAGTCCCTCACACCACAGCCACGTACCACGGCCGCCCAGCCGGCACTGGACTGTAACTTCCCTGAGGGCTAAGACAAGCCTTTCTATATCTTTGTTTCCACTACGAGACCTAACACAAACCAGAAGCTCAATAATTCCCTTACTATGAACGAAGAATGAATGAGTGAGCGAACAAATGAATGAAGGACTACAGCTTTTGGGAAAGGTCACCATCCTGTCTAGAAATATTTGAATTCTAACTTAGAGCGTTTATCTAAATAATTTAAACTTAATTATTCTCAAATTCTTGTAAGCAAGTCAGCCTGATATCATTATTTATATCATTGTTGGTATATGCCACCCCCCTCCACGTATCAAGCATTAGACACAAAGAGAAGGTTTAATACATTCCACACTTAAAGTGCAAAGAGAATTTCTCACCAGAAATAGAAAGCCAAGTAATAAGAAAAGGTTACATTTTGGTTTGTTTACTGTTCTTGCGGTTTAGTCCTGACAGGTTGAGCTTCCCAGCCTCCTGGTAGTCAGCAGGGGGTTCAGTTAGAGGCTATTCGAGAATGGGACGCCTGTACTGTTCTGTATATACCATACGAATCGATAACCAAAACCCAAAGCCTGGGAATTAAATGATTTCCTTGACAACAGGAGAAATCTGGCCGGGGATGCTTCAGCAAGGAAGGAGCAGAGATGGGGAAAGACCTTCTGCTGAGCCACTGGCGCGTTGGCAGCACAGATAACGTCCTACCTCCTTGTCGCTGTACGAGATGTTTCGGATTTCATTCCACGGGAAGGAGATCTTGGGGGTCAGCCTGTTCTCGGGGTCATAGATGTGAAGCCCCAGAGCGTCCACTCCAAGCAGCAGCTCTGTGCCCTTTTTATTCTGTAGATTCAACAAAGAACAGCTACTGTCAGCTCCAGCTGAGGCTGGAGGTCTTATTCAGCTTCCCCAAAGGCCTGGCGCACACTGTTACATATGACAAGTTTCAACAGTTCCCAGCAGAAGCCACAGCTGTCTCATAGCCCAGGGGGCCTCTGGCTTCCTGAATGGAGGCAGGTGGAGGCAAAACCATCCCATTTATATGATTCGTGTGTCCCACAGAGGGGCGACTGGAGTCCCCCGTCGCTGGCTCGCTGGCTCAAGTAGCAGCAATCTAAGCATTGCTAGCCTCTAATTAAATAACCAGGTCACCATAGATATAAAATAAAAACCTGCAGGTTTCATCATTTCTTATGTCAAAAGAAAAAACTGTTGAACTACCAGAAAGAAAACTCGAATTGCTGAGATCAGATGGTCTTATTACTACAAGTTAAAGTATATCTTAGTGTGAAAAAGCAAGTATAAATGTTAATTGTAGAATCTGTGCAGTGAGTATATATGGGTGGGTATTTATTCACTGTAAAATTCTTTCAGCTTTTCTGTATGTTTAAAATTTTTTAGAATAAAATGTTGGAAAAATATATCAAACTGAATTATACATAAATTAGGTCTCAGGAAGGCTGTGTAAAAAATTAATCGCCTATACTTATGTTCTGCCTCTGATGGTCACAGATCAGGACAGCCAGAGGGCAAGCGTGCTGGGCCTGCACATTGCTGACCCCGCTGTGAACCTGGAGGCCACATCCTCAGGCTGCAGGGCCGTCCACCTGTGCTGCGGTCTGGCCTTTGTGTGACGGAGGGGGGAAGCTTCCTGTGCAAAACCCCTTGCTGACCACGATGAGCCCAAACTGAAACTCAGGGGCAGGAAGACAGAGCTGCAACCCGAGAAGGCACGTGGACGGTGATGAGAAGCGCCCACCTAGTGGCAGCTGTCACGTGGACAAGGGCCTGCTCCAAGGTAGTTTTTTTCCTAACACCCTGAGGCCAGGTGTGATTGCCAAAGCATGAGAGAGATTCCTCTGCTTGTCTTCAAAGCTCTTAAAGCTATGTACTATGTAAATACAAGTGAGGCTCTGTACTTTTAAAATCCATGGTATTTTGGAAAATGAGATGTTTCTGACTATTTTGTTTAGCTCTGGGAAAAAAAAAAAAAAAAACAAAGGATCTCACTTCGTGCTGCCTATCACCATGACTCCGACATCTCCGGGAGAAAGGGAGGGAAACTCAAGCAGCCCTTTGGAAATGGTTTTAAGCACATGTGTTCCTGAGTTGACAGTGAATTCAGGAACTTTAACTGAAACATGCATTAGCTTTGTCTATGGCCTAATATAAGAACCACACACACACACCGGTATCAGACTGCTATGAGAAACTGTTTTCCAAGGATCGTAAAACATGAGTTTTCTAGAATCTAGGTGGTGGGTATATAGAGCAAGGGGGATTCTGCTGACAAAACCCAGAAATGCACTAAATTACCCTGACCCTAAAGAAACCGAATCAACAAACACAAATTAATAAAACTTTAGAAAATTTAAAAAAGTAAAATAAATTTTTAAAAAACTTGAGAAAAATACCTTCTGTGTTATCACGGAAAATCCTCTGGGCACTCATTTACTCTATGACGTGACATGATTTGTCGGGGTGCCTTATTCTTTAAAATTTGTGTTTAGAAAACAAATCAGGTAGACAGCTAGGCTAGGACATTTTAAATGTGTTCCGATTTACCCCAATTTAATGTAAAATGTATAGGGACTCCCCTAAGGAAAGCAAACCATACTGCGACGGTTGTTTTAATATCTCCTCCTCTACAGTCTGGAGCCAGCAATGAACCACTTGAGCAAATTCACATGGATTCCTTTGGAAGGAGCTGCCTCCTGCTACAGCCAGCAGGGGACCCTCCGGAGAAAGACTGGAAAGGCCCGAATGCCTATCTGCTACAGAGGCAATGGTTTCCCAGAGGACGGAGGACTATTAGTGGTCTGAACAGAAAACCAATTAGCCTGCTAGAGAGAACAAGAGTCTACACCCAAACAGGTTGGTGCTGTTTATAAGCGGTTTTACTCTCCTTGTGCCCTTGGGGAAAGAAAGTACTGACAGGTGCTCCCTGGGGGCCCAGATCTCACAGAGCCAGATATAATCAAATGCTGCACTCAGACAGGGCCCCTGGCTCAGTGCAGGACCAGCCCCCCCTAAACCACTCCCCTCCCCACGCACCGCCCTTCTCCCAAGGCTCAACTCACACCTAATTACCTAGGATCTAATTGAAGTCCCCAAAATAGAAAATGAGGCTATAAGACCCTCTCCCCTTTTCTTCTCCTCTTCACCACTGAACCGTTAAAGAGTCTACCACCCTGAATGAGAAAGTAACCCATCTTAGCAGCCTGTCCCTGGTTCAGCCTGTTTATACGCAGGGAACTCGGAGAAGCTTCAACGCACCCGGATTGCGAAGTAGTTCACGCCGTACATCTCCAGGTCCTGAGCTATCTTCAAATATTCCATTTCAGCTTCATCCCTGTGGGGACAATGAAAGACATTGTCACTGGAGCTAAGTGAGAAAACTGGAGGGCTGGTGCCTGCCACGCTGAGCATCAAATCTGCCAGGGGACGCGAGCCAGAGAAGACACCGTGAGGCTCTTCCTAACCCTAAGCCTGCTGAATACAACGAGGTCAAGCAGAATCTCCCATTCCCGTAGAAACAAGAAAGCAGATTCATCACAGCATCTCTTGGCTTCAACTCCATGCTCTGTTCTTGGTAAACAGTGACACTCGTCTCATAATTCAAGAAAATCACATGGTATGTTATCGGCTCCCCTCAAATGGATGTGAGTGTTCGCATTTTATTTAACTTGTTGCTTTATCTAATTGTGTTTTTTCTTCACTTAGAAGGTTTCAGTAATGAAACCACTCTCCCTGCAAGTCACTGGGAATTACCTTCCTGATTTTCTTTCTGTGGCTGCTGTTGGAGGTTAGGGCAAGAGCCACGTCGTCTGTAAAGCCCACGCCAGGCCACCTACTTGTGAGCTGTAAGTCGAATTTTAAAGAAAGCTCTTGAAGCAGCAATGACTTGTAAAAAAAATACCTCCCACCAGGCACCGTATTGAAATGTTTTAAGTCAGGTCTCCCTATGACCTTGCCTTCTCTCACTCTCCGATATCACATGAATTTTAAAAATTCACCCTGGGAGAATGCCAAGTGTTGGCAAGCAGGCGGAGCGACTAGAAATGACGCACACTGCAGATGTAAATTGGTACAATTACTTCGGAAAATTGTTTGACATCATGTGTAATAGCAAAAGACAGCAGACAACTCGACAACGTAGATGCCCATCCACAGCGGGATGGAGACACAATTTGTGGTTTATTAGTACAGTGGAAGGCTACATAACAATGAAAGGGGGAAAAACAAACCAGCTCCTGCTACATGCCACAAACCCAAATCTCACAATATGATGCTGAGTAAAAGAAGTGACATCCGAAAGATAGAAACTATCTGGCTGCATTCACATCAAGTTCGGAACGGGCGACGCGGACCTAGGGAGTCTGCAGTCAGGAGACGGGCTCCCTCTGGGGAAGGAGGGAGAGTGACGGGGGTCGTGCGCTGCCCCGTTGCCTATTGTTGCTTGGTACTTTCACTTTGTGATGATTCATCCATCAGTATATTATTTATGATGTGTCCACTTTTTGGTATGCATGTTCTACTTTTTTAAAAAGTAAAAAAAAGTGTGTTATAGGATGTTCATTTGAAAAAGAGGAAAAAATATGTTAACAATGAATGAAAAAAGGATCAGTTCCTAAAGTGATCAAGGGAATGCTGATTGAGATTTAGGATACAATTCTTTACCTTTTAGATAGAACTTAGATGGATAAAAACAAGTGTTGGGGAGAGAGGTGGGGTGGAGACACTCTCATACATGCTGATGGGCACGTAACTGGGCACAACCTTTTCGGAGGGCAATTTGCTGGCACCTGTCAAAGCTCGAAATGCTCGTAGCCTTTGACTCAGCAAACGCTTCTGGAGGCTCCGTGGGCCGAGCCGCCTGTACCATTACAGAACAACCTAAGACGGGGTGTGCTTCGCAGAACGGGTTGAAAACGTGGAAAACATACAGCTCCTCCAAATGCCGTCAGGGGAGGAACGGGCGCAAAAGCTGTGGGACATCCAGACAACAGAATTCTCCCAGCGAAACTGAACCACCGGCGAAGACAGCAGGTGTGTACCTCCCGGCAGGCACTGAGTGCCTACAAGCACTAGGAAAGGGGTACACACAAAACTGAACACCACCGGCATTACTCCCCGCTCTCTCTTTTCTTTTATATACTGCAGCAAAGCACTTTGTTCAACAAGTATGTCCTAGTTTCATAGTTCTAAAAAAAAAAAATCCCAGGAAGAAATGTAAACCCAAAATGAAGCAGCCTCACCTGGCTCGGCCTCGGTGCTCTGCGTACCAGGCTGTGATTCTCTCCTCCCACATTTCTGGAGTCATTTGATACAGATTTATGACCTACCAAAAATATGGAGCAAAATTAAAAAAAAAACATACACAGAGAAAGTTTTGGTATTATTTGCCATTTTTATCATTACGCATCGTTTCGACAAAATAGCACAGCTATTTTTAAAAAGCCACATGCAGGGAGATAGCCGCACACGGAGGTGGGTGTGTAAACAAGCACCATTCAATCCGAGTCACAACTCAGAAGAGAGCTGCACCATTATTCAGGCCCAGGGGCACCCCTTGCCTGGCAGGGGCCCCTCTTTCCTGGGCTGCACACCCCTGAGGGAGGACCTCAGTTAGGGCTGGCCAGCTGGGCGAGGCTGTGCGTGGTGCTGCCTTCGCTAGCCCGCACACAAGCTCTCAGAGGGGCAGGTGAAGTCGGGGGAAGGTGAGCAGCAGGCCGTCATTACACGTGATGGATGAGTGGAGCTATGAAATCAGAAGCAGCAAAAGGGAGGGAGGGCCTGCTCCTTCGGCTAATGAACAAGATGAACACACCAAGGATTAAAAACTACAATGCCCACTCCTAACTCATTTCCCTCTATCCAGCCCGAGCAGCTGCTAACAGCTCAGCTCCCTGGGCTGTGAACGCACGCTGCTCCTTACTCCTCCGGAATCGCTGATGCCCGCCCACCTTTAAAGGGAGGGCCCTTAGCAGGCCGTGCCAGTCCTGGCAACCCCAAACTGACCCCTTGAACCTTTGCTTTTTAATATTCTTAACAGAGATTCCGTTCGAGATTGATTACAAAATATTTATAATCATGTTCTTGCCATGTGTTCCCACGATCCCTTCGAGCCCTTGGGTTCTCTTTCTTGTAGACCACACAGCTGCTCTGCCTTCCCGAATTGGGGATTTGATTTCTTACCCGTTTTGGAAGCAATTCCTCTTGGGCTAAAAATCCCCGCTTGTGAACAGAGGGGTCATAGTCCCCGTACTGGAAAGAGAAAAAGGAGAGAGTGAGTGATTGAGATTCGAGAGACAACTGTCATTTCTGAGCGGCTGGCCTCCGTCTCAGTTCCTTCCCAGCTCCAGGGAGCAATTCAATTCTGATGACAAGTCGAGATTTCAACCTCGCTAGTTTGTTATCCTTGAATGAAAATACAAAGGTGATTATGTCTATAAACAGAGTTGCAGAATCCCTGTGGGGGTTGTGCTAATAAGAATGTGACATTTGTATGGAAAGGGAGCCGTGTTTTCTAAGTGGCAGAGAAAGCAGTCCCTGCCAAAACATGAGCTTTCGGAATGGAACGACAAAACACAACTGTGGAAGTTGTGATTAGCAAGGTGTGATAAGAGCCTTACCTAGGAATGCTTCTAAGTGGCTGGTAATTGGAGCCAATTGCTGGTAAGTAGGAGCTGGGCATAATGCTGACAATATTTGTAATACCTTTCATTGAAGGCTCTGAGAAACGCTTTAGAAAAACCTGACGCCAACGCTGTCATTCATGTCACACAGACAGAGAAACAAGTAAAAGGGTGACTGGCTTTCCTACAGGTGCAGAGCAAGTCACCAGGAAGGCCAGGAGCGGGCCGTGCCTTTTAACGTGTTCTTCCAGGGGAATAACTTGGAGATTTATTTTTCTGATTTAAGAAAAATAATCCCTTTCTTTCTTAGGAGACTTAAGGCTGACCAGGAAATAATAATAAAAAAAAAAGATGGAATTTTAAAACAGAAACTAACTAGAAAACAGAGAGAGTATCAAATCAGAGCCTGTGTCTTGTCAATCAGCATTCTGTGGCTTTTTTCTTTCGACCAAACCAACAAAATTCGGTATTTTAGTAGACTCTTCTATAGAGATTTACCGTTTCAGCCACCAACACTGGGAAGACAAAAGGAAGCTCAGGCAGAAGGCTGCTGGCTCTCTGCACCACTGACTCGGGTCAGGACGCCGCCCGCCCTGTCCTCCCGAAGGTCCTCAGGTTGGACTCCTGGTGTGTTTTTCAAATGAGGTCACACACCCAACAACATCCACTCATGCTCGTCTGCAGCTTTCAACTGTATCTCATTCCCACACCACCTTACTATAAAAGCTCCACAGATTAATATTGCTCATGAATCTCCTAATTAACTTACAAATGGCAGAAGGGCACTGCCTTGTTTTTCAAGCGCTAACAGAATTAATGTGTCAAATTTAAACATTTTCAATACGCCACAGAGTTGGTGGCCCCGTCTAGGCATTTCTCCATTTAGGAGAACGTGAAGGAGCCTGGTGTGTCTCGATCTCCGAGAGGCCTGGGGCTGCAGTCAGCAGTTGCTCTGAGCTTTGGAGGCCCGGTCTCAGGAGGCAGGCTGCTTACAATTCAGCCCCAGCTCTTTCCCTTCCTAGCTGTGGCCTCAGGGAAGCAGTGTCTCCACTTTTTCATCTATAAAATGGGGATAATAACAGTATTTATCGTCTAGCACTCTCAAATAAAATAAGTACCCTGAAGTTTAAAAAAAAACTATGGCTGACACACAGCACTCAATACAACCTGGTGTTAACAGATAAAAACTCCAGCTGAGTCACCTCTCTGAGTGTTTCCTAATTTGTCAAACGACAGCGTTGGTTTTAGAGGATTTTGAAGTGGGGACTGCAGAATATCCCCCTGGAGGCTGGAGTAAGCCACCCTCCCTTTAAACCTCAGCTTCCTCATCGGAAAAGCAAGGGTCATAACAGCGACTGCCTCGTAGGCACTGCTGAAGATGAAGTATGACAATCTAAGCGTTTTGCATCGTGCCTGGCTCAGAGTTAATGTCGTGTGTTATCATTACCCTCCACATTGTTTATAGTGACACTGGTCACTGCTCGCCTCCAGTTTTTAAAGGGGTAGGATGCTAAAGAGAGTCCTGTTAGTTGCATCTGCAAGCTTCTCAAAGAGTGCTGATCAAGTCCTAATGCAAAAGTAAGCAGACATGCAAAGTTAAAGTTGTAAATTCAGATTCCAAAGACTTGCAAAAGAGTAATGATCCACATTATCATACTGAGCTCCCAGCGACTCCACGGACCAAGCGGCTTGCATCTGAGCAATTGCAGAGGCAGCAGAGACCCCACTGAAAGAGCTTGCTGCTGGACTAACTTCACCTACAAGATCAAAGCTACCTTGGTATATGTGTCTGCTTTTAAATGTCTCTTTAAAAAACAAAAGAACAAGAAAATCCTTAAGTTGTGGCAGTTGGTGAATACAAAAGGAAGTCATACCACACCGTGGATGGAAATGGCGGTTCCTCATCCTTTTATGTACGAAAGCATTCTGATAATATCACCAGGACTGAATTTACTGTGAGGCTAATGAAGCTGGGCTTTCAGGCCCCTGCACCGAATTTTGTCCTCATAATTTGCATTCTTGCCTTAAAAAGAATCCTTTAAGTTACATAAACTTCAGGCCCCACAAACCCCAGATCCAGCCCTGAATTTAAATTTGAGAAAGGAGGTCACCATTTACAGGATTCTTGGAGTCAGTTCTTACACGAAACAGAGGTATTTAATACCCTTCTGGATGTCAAATACTGTCTTCGGCCTGCACGTATAGAACGTTGTACCAAATGCTCTGGACAGGAGTTCACGAAACAGAAAGATTTAATTAATACATATACAGCACAAATCATTAGATCCCTACCACACACATCAGTCACTAAAATACGGATGGATTAAAGACTTAAGCCATAAGTGAAAATCCATCAAAATACACAGACAAAACGTGGAAGAACTTGTGTATAAAAATGGTAGGTGGAGCTGTTCTAAAAGTCACTCGAAACACAGAAACAGATCGACAGTCTGACACGTAAAAAAAAAAGGTTAATACCCATCAGATATGGAACTCCTATAAATCAATGAGAAGATAAACAGAGTAGAAAAATGAGAAGTCATAGGCTGTTCACTCACAGGGGAAAGAAATACAATGATCAGTAAATCTATGAAAAGAGACTCAGCCCCAAAGGTAATCAAGGAAATGAAAACTTAAAAAATCTATTCTTTTCGATCAGATCAGCAAAAATGTAAAAGACTAATAGCATCCACGAGGATATGAAAAATAGGCATTCTCTCATACTGTTCTCAGAAGTTAAATCAGGACACTTTTGGAGGGCAATTTGGCCATATCTTTTCTTTTTTAGATAAAATTTGCATACATAAATTCATCATTGGAGGCATATAATTTAGTGGTTTCTAGTATACTCAGAATATTGTGCAACTATCACCACCATCTAATTCCAGAATATTCCCACCACCCCCCAAAAAGCAACCCCATACCCACGAGCAGTAACTCCTGCTCTCCTCCTTCTGTCCCCCGACCCCCGCCCCAGCCGCCACGAAATCCACTTTCTGTCTCTACGCGTTTGCCCGTTGCCGACATTTCATGGAAATGAAATCACACGATATGCAGCCTTTTGCATCCAGCTTCTTCCACTTAGCAGCTTTTAAATTTTAAATGTTCTTATCCTGCGACCCAGTTATGCCATTTCTTGGTATCTACCAGAGAAATACTGTTCATAAGTTCATACTCAAGGATGTTTGCTACATCCTTCTAAATGATAGAAAAAAATAATAGAAAAAATCTAAATGTCTGCTGATAAAGAGATATTTAAACAATCTGGAGTCCCCCCTTTTTATGAAAAGCAGTTTAAAGAAATGAGGTGGGTCAACCTGTATGGACAGTTTTAAGTGACAGAGGCACCTCTTGTGGGAGTCCCTGCGGCGCAGAGCCGCTGAGGAGTGGGATTTGGGAACTCCTCCGGGCCCGTCTCCCCACCCAGCACTCTGCAGAGTTTACACCAGTTCACAGCCCCTTCCAGCAGGTAAATGAGCTTAAATGGTGCTTCTACAGATTCAGTATCCTAGTCAACCATATAGGTTTGGAATGTTACCTATCGTTCCTCTAATTTTTCTTTCTTTTGATTGCTAGTGAGATTGAGCATCTTTTTCTTTAGAAATATTTTTTAATTGATATTTTAGAGAGAAAGGGATCGAGGAGAGAGAAAAGAGAGGCAGGGGAGGGGGAGGGAGAGAGAGAAACTGACTTCTTGTTCCACTTATTGATGTATTCATGGGTTGTTTCTTCTGTGTGCCCTGACGGGTATCAAACCTGCAACCTAGGTGCATCAGGACGACGCTCTAACCAACTGAGCACCCATCCAGGGCGGAGCATCTTTTTGTACTTACTGATCGTTCTTGTTTTCTCTTCTCTAAAGTGCCCATTGTTCGCACCCTTTGTGCCCATTTTTCTGCTACCTTTTTCTTATACAGTTAAGAGTTCTTTATATTCAGGGATATTTATTTAATTCTACTTCTAGAAATCTACCTTAAGGGCAGAAAGCTTTTGCATATTTATACCAAAAATCATATAAAAGGATTTTTAGTAAAGCACTGGTTATAATAGGGGAAAAGTAGAAACTAAAGCTACCTCTTTCTCAGAAGGGGGATGGATAAATAAGCTAGGTTTATTCATCAATGGTTACCATAAAGTGGTTAGAATCAATGAGCTAAGTCTATACATAAAACACAGATACACCATTTAATCAATGTTGAGTGGGAAAAAAAAAACACTATTCTGTAAAAGGATTTGTAGAAAAGATATGCAGAGTATAGCACCATTTGTAACAACTTATACCTTCTGGATTTTTTAAAGCCAGCCTCTTCCTAATCACCTCACCACCATCTGAGGTGTGAATCTCACGGTCTCTCCCCAGGACGACTACCACAGCCTGCTAACAGGTCTCCCTGTTTCCAAACTTGTCTCTCACTCCCACATGCCCTTCACTAAGCCAACAAAAATCTGTCTAAAATATAAACCCTTCCCTAGCTCTTTATCACCCACAGGATCAAGTTAAGACCTTTTATGATCTAGCCCATTACAGATATCTCCAGCCTTGTCTCTTGACACTCAACATACACTGTACATACACCTAACTTCTTCATTGACTCGTGGCGCTCTCTCCTCAATTTGTATCCAAGAATATTTACTAAGAAACAATAAGTCTCCTCTCCCACCATTCTTTTCTCCCTCTGAACACTAGGAGCCTACAGGCCAGCACTGCAAGACGGATAAACTGTATACCATTCTCTCCCAAAGTCATTTTTACCAAGAACACACTCTCCCCCAAAGTCGTCTTTAACAAGAACACATTCCAAACACCAAATCGTCAATACAAATCCAACAGGTGGCCCACAACGTTGCAAGATAGTTCGCTGTTGCCACCCGACTGCACCAAAAAACCAGCCCCTACTTTTGATTCAAGTGTAACTCCAACTCCAACCAAGAAATGTGGCTCTTGTTAACTGAACCATGTGATTAATATTTGTATTTATACTTTGAGGGTAATTGTTTCTTTATGCTTCGGAATTAACTGTGTCTATATCATTCAAACAGCTAAAACACTGTAATGAATACATTTGTGGATAATTACATTCCATGTGTTAATGAGCCCAATTCGCTTTCCCCTCCATACTTCTGAAGTTCCTTTCTGTTTCAGGAAGGTTGTGGAAGAAAACACACTGAACCTAATGGAAGGAACCAGTACAATTGACTGAAAAGTTTGGACCCATGTGACTATGTCGGCGAATCTGGGATTCAGTCAATGGCAGTGCATGCCGCCCAGGGGCCTCCCTCAAACGCTAGATAGGGAGGCACAGGAGCAAAGCACCGAGTCAGCCAGTGAGGCACCAGGTCTCTTGCCCCGGCTCCACTCTCTAGTTCTGTTCTGCTTCAAATCCTGTCCATCCAGGAGTGGGGTACAAGTTCCATGTCTTAAAAAAGAATTCATCTAAAGTACTGTGTGTTGACACAAATTATGCTACTCCTTTCTCAGCCTTAAATTACTCATCTGTAAAATAGGCATAATACTTTCAAGCCTTGGTTTAATGCAAAGGCTGTATGCTAAGCATCGCACGAAACATTCATGTTAACACACTGTTTGCAGGTAGTTTTTATCGCGCGCTCTATTACCAGTCAACGTAAAACGTATAAATACGTTTCCCGCATACAATGTGTTAAAACATTTTGTAAAACCGTAAAACACTACGGGCATGTAAGATCTTACTAATATTGTAATCAGGAATATCCTTTTAATGTTAAGCAGCAGACCTGGAAACTGGGAGCATGTTATATAATAATCCTTATTTTCCCAAATGCAGGCTTGAAATCATAAGATTAGCTTTATTTGTGAGATCCTGCGAATTTACACCGGAAAAAACAGAACAGCCTCCTCCATATGAACCCCATATGCTCTCTGTGAATCACTTTCATCTCTAAATGAGTAGGACCCAAATTAGTAGGGCTTTCCTACAGTGACATCTGTTTAAGCAAACATCTGCTGGTTCCCAGAAAAGTTTTTTCCTTTTCTTCCCCCTACAGGTGGACTTTGAATTTGTGGCCCAAAGTCCATGCAAAGAAAATGTAGCCTTCGAGCTGGAAGCCCTTCAAGGAGAGGTGGTGTCCTTGAGAGCTCGGGTCTCCTCTCAGCTGGGGAGAAAGCGTGCTAGAAAGGAGCCCAATTCCGGGCCAGGAAGTGCTCGGATTTAATGAGAGAGACAATGACTGCTTCATCACTGTCAGGGCGATACTGATTGAAAGGACACATTTTTCCTGTTATTAATATTCTTAATCAAAGCCTAAAAGGAAGCATATGTTTTAGTTGAATCAAGGCCCACTTTCTGTATTTTTCAATTACTCATTTTGCCGGGCAGTGAAGGAGGGGAGGCACGAAATGTCATCCTGAAGCCATGAATTCTGCCTGCTTTTTTTAGCGCTCCCCCAGGATTACCCGAAAGACCTCGGGCACATCACTAAAGGCAGATACTTGCGTTAGTGTCTGTACAGTGACAGGGTCGACACTGCCCCCTCCTCAGGCCGGAGGACGCTTAGCAAATATTAGACCTGTCACCAAATGATTACGAGTCACCAAATGACTCACTCTGGTACTCTGTCTGTCTGGCCAGTATGTACAGAATTTTTTTCCTCTCCAAATGACAGGCTAGTTATTTCCTGGCTTTGATATGAAATTGTATGAATTTTTGTAACACTTCAGGGAAATGGCTTTACGGACACCTCTCACTAAGAAGAAAAATAGTAACAAAAGATGATCCAGGATCACAAAAGTAATCAAGCGGTCCTAATTCTGGGATTTCTCATGCTGTGGAGACAGGCGGTGAGCAGAGAGACCAAGAGACAGTGGCATGTGACTGAATGGAAACCTGACGGACATCACGCCCCCGGGCTGACCCTGGAATTGGGCTCAGAGAAACAGGGGGGACAAAAGCACAAGACCATCGATCTCTTTTCCCGCCACTCTCGTGTGGACCTCACCATCTCTCACCTGGATGTGGTGCCTCTGGGAACGCCTTTCTGCTAACCAGACAGCTCAGCTGGGCTCCGCAGGCCAAAGAGCCTGCAGTGCCCGGCCATGAGCAAGGGGGCATGCCCATCGGGGTGGGTGAAGCGGGGCACTCTCTAGGGTGTGGTGAGGTCCCCACACAACAGGGCTGCTGGTCCTCAGAAGATGGGTTTGGAATGAGAGCCTGGGCCTTTCTGAACTGAAGGCCATGTTGGGCCCAAACTGGAGATCGTAAGTTCATTTTTCCTGGTTATGTGCACAGTGAGATTACAAAGAAAATGTATCAAACTATATACACTTACTTGTACACACACACACACTCACAAGATTATACAGAAGTGAAACATCAACACTTGGTTCCCCTGGTTGACAAGTTCCACCACCTCTCGCTTGCTGGGGAAAGTCTCTCTGGAGTCTAGAAAATCCCAAAGACACAGGAGACTGGAGCGCCCTTGCGACATGTATTAACACCCGGGAAAAATACATTTTTCTTCATTGAGCCTACCTTGGCCTGGACGGCGTAAGAAGCCAGGAGCACGGAAGCCTCAGGAGGGCAGTAGATCTTTTCATCTAAGATCTGCTTCTTTACCTGGAAGGGCAACAAGGCAGACATGACACTGTGTGCATGGACGTGAGCCATGCAGGCTGCTCACGGCAGATGGCTGCAGGGGTGCTCGTGCGGGCTGCCGAACCGGCCTGGTAATGATTTTCTGACAAAGAGTGCCATTTTTTTTTATTGCTGCAGACAGGTTGTGAGTTCAGCCACAGAGAACTTAACTGGTAAGATGGCCATGCGTAAAAAACAACAACAAACCAACCTGTATCTGCTCTGTTCACGATCAAATGCTGGAGAGGGAAAACAACCTTCCTGGTTAAAACGGAAACTAACATCTGGGCTGTGACAGAAGAGAGCTGTGAAGTTGACAAGTGTCAGGATCAGCCCTGGTGGTGATTGCAGCCCGGGGCCCCTGCTGAGCACACGCAGCACTAGAGGAAATGGAGTCTACTTTTAAGTCTTAACACGAGATAAAAGTCAGCGAGGCCACTGAGTTATGACTGCGGAAAAAACCCATCACTTTCAATATGCATGCTCTAAGGAAAAAGGAAGCAATAAAGTGTGATTGATTAAACTTTTAAGTACACGTGAGGTCCGGGAAATATAATTCTTAAGCCATAATGCCGAATTAACATATCTCACTGCATTTAACTTCTTAGAATGGTGCAGTGTGTGATGTTCCAGACGCGGAGGCAAGACAGCCACATGAAGTGGGGCACACCAAGATAAACACCACAGGGAAGCCACCTGGCTTTCCACAGATGTCAACAGTCACCAGATTCGTAAAAGTAGGAAATTTTGCCTTGCTCAGCCACGAAAACGCCCCGACATTTCAGTGTGAGGGAAAATGAAGCCCAAGTCACAAGAGGGGTGGACACTGCTTCCAAGAGCTTCCAAGAAAGCCATCCCTATAACACGAGGGCATTCTGGGGCCTAGGAGGTCATTATGTGGTTTCCTTCAAAGCAGTGTGACTTCCTAATCCCTTGTTTTTTTTTTCAAAGGGGAAAAATGCCACACCATTGAAAAACTGCAAGGGTTTCCCTTTAAGAGGAAAATGTTAGAGGGGGGTGTGTGTGCATGGTCTGTCTATAAAAAGTCCAGCCACTGTTAATAGAAAGAGAACGGTTTGCACATCATCGATGTAACCTGGCAGCCAAGGAGAGTGGACTGGAATGCACATGTGTGAACAATGATGACCTCACTGTACTAGTCAGTGGGGGCAGTAGACGCCGTTTACTGAGCATGTGTACTGTGTGGTCCTCACATTCAAAACGACTGAGCAAGTAGGGCAATGAACCTGTGTCAAATTTTGCGTTAATTTTGAACATTCCTTTGCAGGAATTATTGGGGTGGTTCAGAAGGCAACTGGTGAGTAGCAGCTTCATCATGACAACGCACCCGCTCATGCATTACACCTCATGCAGAGTTTTTTGGTGAAACTTCTAATCACCCAGGTACCCAGCCCCCGCTACAGCCCAGATTTGGAGCCCTGCGACTTCTGGCTTTTCCCAAAATTAAAATTGCCTTTGAAAAGGAAGAGATTTTAGACTGTCGAAGAAATTCAGGAGAAAATGATGAGACAGCTGATGGCGATTGGGAAAAATGTGAGGTCCCAAGGTGCCTACTTTGAAGAGGACTGAGGCATCATTGCCCTATGTACAATGTTTCTTATATCTTCTTCAATAAATGTCTATTTTTATATTACATGGATGGATACTTTCTGAACAGACCTGTGTGTGTGTGTGTGTGTGTGTGTGTGTGTGTACATGCTTTTTTTTTTTTTTTGCAAACCTTTCTTTGCTAAAAAAAACTACGTTGGGGGCCCTCAACGGTGTGGTTCAGTTGGTTGAAGTGTTGTCCCAAAACCAAAAGGTTGATTCTTGGTCAGGGCATATACCTATGTTGTGGGTCCAATCCCCCATCTGGGTGCCTGGGGGAGGCAACCAATTGAAGCTTCTCTGTCACATCAATGTTTCTCTCTTTCTCTTCACCTCTCTCTAAAATACAATGAAAAAATGTCCTCAGGTGAGGATAAAATATTATGTGGGGGGTTTTACCACATTTAACTTAATATTTTCTGAAGACAGTAATCTAAGGCTCACACTAATCATAGGAGGACTGTGTAACAGACTAGGTATCTACTTCCGGGAAATCACCTAATTAACGTCCCTGCTGCAATCTTTTCCATCACTGAGAGTGGACACCTTTGGGCACACATGCAGCTCCGGTGCCGATCACCGTAGTAACCAACCGTGAAAACTAGGGAAGCATTCTGATCAAGCAGTAAGGACACAAGCAAAACCGACAAGGTTTTCGTCGTCACACTAACCCACCCCTCGCTGTGCCCTCCGATGGTCACCTAGCTGTCTTCAAACCTGTAATTATGGGTCTCCTCATTTCTTCAATCTGGTTGAGTAATTGCATGTGGAAGGCCCAGTGTGCACTCCATGAGCCTTGTCTTTAAGGGGCTTGTACTCCATGAGGGAGTCAGGAGGAATAAGACAATTATTGACAAACAGTAGCATAAAGCATAAAGTCTGAAATCTCCCCTCTGTGCACGGGATCAACCAGGTGTCACCGGAGTTCTGAAGTCCTGCCTTAATGAGAACAGATTTTGAACTTCTGGGAGAACTATTCTTCACAAGGCTCTCTGTAGGCTTCCTTTGCAGCTCTTGAGTACTTTCAAGTTAGTAAGAAGAAAACAGGATCTCTCTTCAAAGAGCTTTCAAATTAGCTAGCTACTTGTACCCATTCCTTTTTATTTTTTTAAAAAAGATTTTATTTCTTTTTAGAGAGAGGGAAAGGGAGGGAGAAAGATAGGGAGAGAAACATCAATGTGAGAGAGAAACATCGATCAGTTGCCTTGCACATGCCCCCAGCTGGGGACCTGGCCTGCAACCCAGGCATGTGCCCCGACAGGGGATCGAACCAGCGACCTTTTAGTTCACAGGCTGACACTCAATCCACTGAGCCACACCGGCCACGGCCTATCCATCCTTTCAACATCACATTTTTGCAATTTCCTCTGACACCAATTCTCATCACTCAAATATAATTCTAGTCTAAAGATTTTTTCCATTACAGAACCAAAAGGTCTAACTTTCTAGAGAGGGAACATTTTCACAATGTGAAGCTTTTCTGGTCAGCTCCAACGGGTTCGTCCAGGCCACCTCTGCAACCAGGGCCGAGCAAGGTTTCCCATAATGAGGGGGATAGCACAGATGAGTGTACCTGCAGGAAGAATAAATGCTGCGTGATTTCCTGAACCAGCTCCTCCTCCGCATTCTCGGGATAAAATTTGGCCAGGAAGTGGAAGGTGACTGGCTCTTCCTTCGAAACATCGTGATCCAGCACCTGCACAATTGCAGAGCAGAAGACAAACAAGCTATGTTGGCACCTCTTTCTCCCATGCCCTTGTCAAAGACACTTTTTCAGGGAGTATACAAATATTTTTCCCCTCTAAATTCATCACATTTAGCCCTGGCTGGCGTAGCTCAGTGGATTGAGCGCAGGCTGCGAACCAAAGTGTTGCAGGTTCGATTCCCAGTCAGGGCAGATGCCTGGGTTGCAGGCCACAGCCCCCAGCAACCACACATTGATGTTTCTCTCTCTCTCTCTCTTTCTCCCTCCCTTACCTCTCTAAAAATAAATAAATAAAATCTTTTAAAAAATTCATCACATTTGCCAAAGGCTATGCAATTCTTCAGTTTGAAGCTGTCACAAAGTCATCTATAATAAGAGGTAAAACTCACTTCAAATGGCACTTCTGTACCAAGTTAATTAATCTCCCCAAGGGGCGAGTGGAGCTAAAATTTAGGCACAAATGTTCTCAAGGCCACAGAGAATTAAAAATTAGAAATTTATGATTCAAAGGTCTTGGGCATTACCCTTTATGGCAGGCTGAATGTTTTTAGATTTTTTTTTTTTTGGAAGTTGTGGAATATGTCTTTATTCTCTCTCTCTCTCTTTTTTTTTTTGGCTGCCAACCCCCAACATTTAAGTCCATATTGGAATGGAGCTTAGGATGATGAACTAAATCTTTGGGACATCAGTTAAACATTAACTAAGCAACGGAAGTGAAACGTGTCCATCGTGGCAACCCTTTGTTTTCAGGAACCTCTAGAGATGCCCCACGAAATACTTGAGCACAGTCAGTAAACCACACTGCCTTTAATCTTCCAGCGATTTCACCCACCCACTGAAACGCCTGAACCATCTGCTCTGCAGAATTAACTTCGTTTCAGGCCATGAGCATGCCATGTGACAGGCCCCAGGTCTCCATTCACACGTGTCATAATTTATTTCCTTCGAGCAGAGGGTGCTGCGGCTCTTGATGCCCCCGGTCTAATATCCATCCAACCGATGCTCGGTGTTATGATTTAAAAATTTACTTTGCCGAGAATCACAAAAAGACACAGAAAGTTCTGTTGTCTTTGATAGCTAACTTTCCATGCCCCTGCCCACGTTTTAATTGGTGGTGCCCAGGAGATTCAAAATTAACCCGACCTAGGGCAACCTTGCTAACATACGTTGGCACAAGGGGGCACTTTGATCTCCGTGGTCGTTGGGAATTAGCATATGAAATTTATCATCAGCAGGAATTCTAACATGCAGATTCAGGTTTGTGTGTAGATGAACACTTGAGTCTAAAGTCAAACTGATAAAAGGCAGGAGGCTTTTCTTGTTTATCACGCCACGTAATAAATAGGTAATAAACCCAGAAGGGCAATTGCAGGGGATTCCATTTGGGGCAAGAATTAGACACTGGCTTACTTTGAGATTCAGGTGCCTTTTAAGAGTTACTGACAAAAGCATACGGCCATTCGCACCTATCTTCATGGCTAGGTAGGCAGGTAAGTAGGTAAGTAGGCCTTTGTATGCATGTATGAACCCACACAGAGGGCGGTTTCCCTAGGCAGTATTCCTCTCTAAGCCACACTAGAACAGCTGGGAGCCCTCACTTGTCCAGGCCTCAGAAGCCCCAGAAAATCATGGGGACTAGATGAACAGTCTTCCTTCCCCACTGCGACCAGGGCACTCTGTATTCCTCAGAGCGCGTTAATGATTAAATTGAGTTGGGCTGTGCTGTTTCTCAAAAAAAAAAAAAAAAAACTTTTAAAATTTCATAAAGCACATGAGCCCCAAGAACATCTTTCCAAGACATATGTTATAAACATACATATGTAATTTTTATTCATAAAGCCTGCCCAGTGGCTCAGTAAATTGAGCAGCATAAAGCAGAAGCAATCAGCCTGGTGACCGTGAGTGAAGAGGCCAGGGATCGCGATGATCTTGGTTCGTTCTGCCCGCCCAGGACAGCCTGTGAGGAGTAGAGGGCCTGGGGCACCTCGAGGACCTGCTTTCTGCAGGACTTGCCCTCTTCCTCCGCCCTCTACCCATCATGCCCCGTGATGAGCAAACACCCTGGGCACGTGCTCAGGGCAGGACCAGAGCACACACCAGCCCCACTGGTTTCATCCAGTTCCAGCCCAACCTTCTTGTCCATCTTGAGCCAGGCCACGGTGTCCTTGATGGTGTACTGCAGGCCAAAGAACCAGGTCTCCCGAAGCCCCAGGGTCCGGCACACCAGGTCAAATAGGTCCTTCCCTTTCCACTTCATCTGCAATGCAACACACCACAGGGGAAAACAGGGTGAGCAAAAGTCATAGTCCGCTCATGCAAAACCTCTTCTCTGTGTTCTCTGCTCTCGGGTTCCAAAGCGTGGCGATGACACTAAGATGGCTGAGGAGTGGAGAATTCCTGCATCATTTTCAAGCTTCCTACGCAGAACCACGAGTGAGAAAATACCAATTAGAGTTTAATGGCTTAATCACTGCAAAGCGTACACAGTACTTCCCTTGGACAGTTCCTTACAGACCTCAATATCCCCAAAGCTAATTTAGGGAAGCTGGTGAATAAGCATCCTCATTTAGGAGAGTCTAGTCTCTGGAGTTAACCCGGGCGGGGGGGGCACTCGCTTCTAGGGACATTCATTTCCTTGAGATTTGGTCATTTATTTTTCAAAAAATCATGACCCTGCCCTTTCATAAAAGGTTAGTAGTGTTGTGTGTGTGTGTGTGTGTTTAATTTAAAGGCTGCTTTTATTAGAAGTTTTCTGTTTTGCTTTGTTTTTTTTTTAAGCAACGTAGGAAAGGAAGTTGTAACCAAAGTCATAAATCATGGAGAAAAAAAAAAAACTAGAGAACTCAGTCCAATCAAAGTTCTCTCCCATCATGATGAATAACCGAGGCCAAAGTGGAGGCAACTTGCCCACAGTCACACAGAGCAATTTCAAACGCACAGTGTCTGAGCCAGGGGATGAATAGACTCCAATACACTGTACTGTACTTATCCTATAGCCTCCCTTTCAAAAGGACCTGAAGCAATGGCTGCTAAATCCCTTCCTCAGCTATTCAATCTTGTAGTTGGGAAAACAAGTTCAATATCTTCACAGGGGAAGAAAATGCCCATCGGTTTAGTAAATGTTGCCACCTTGTGGCTTTCAAGTTAAATCACACAAGATGTTCCCATACTACCCCTTAGCTGCTGCTCACCCCCTACCCCCAAGTGCCCCCCCAGAACCAGGTGGACATTCAAATGTACACCCGGTGCAGTTATGAGCATATGAGACACATCGCAGTGGCGGTGGTCACAGTAAGAACAATCTTGACATTCAATTACAATGTCACCAGACGCCAGAAGAGCAAGACCGCTGGGCTTGTTTCCCATAATTAGCGCGCCAGTCCTTCTGCCCTCACTGAAAATCTCCACCCAGCTCCTGGGCACTGAAGATGCATGATGAGAAGGAAAGGTGGGAGGGGATCAGGATTTAGAGACTTGGTATAAGAGCAAAAAGGAAAAAGTAAGTTAGGCCTCTAGTATCTGATTGGCTCTTGCTGAAACCTGATTCTACAGAGGATTTTTTCCGGCAGGTCTTCCGGTTTTAATACACATCAACGAACCGTGCGTTCTCTATGAGGTGCTCGACAGCAGAGCCCATCCATCCCTCTTCCGCGCTTGCGGTCCAAGCCAGAGAGCCCGGCAGCAGCCTACACGGAAGGACACCAAAACGCAGCAGAGGAGCGGCTGTGATGTGTATGGGCTCTTGTCCTGCACCAGGGCCATGTCTCCTACCGTCCTCCTCACCCTGCCCCTGCCCCTCTCTGCGACGTCAGTGAGGCCCCTGGAACACCACGGAGGGTGAAGTCTTTAGAAATCATGTTGTGTAGAATAAACTGACTACGTTTTATTTTAAAAAGATGATCTCCTTCCCCTTTTGTGAGGCTTGATAATGCTTGTTGGCACACCCAGTTCCCAGCCCGACAGGAGGACAAAGGGTTTTTTAATTCACAGGCAGGTTGAAATTCCTACAGGCAGACTTCACAGAAGAAATGTTATTTTGGAAAACTAGAACCTTCGGGATGCCGATTATTCTCTCGTCTCTGTTTTAAGCCAGTACATAGTACATAAATTATAAATGACTACCTTGCTACACGATAATGGCACGCTAAAGAACAGACATTAACTTGGAGAAGTGAAACACCCAGGGGCCAAAAAGATCAAGGTAACAATTCCAAATCCTCCATATCGCACAGCTGCGGTCGGCGGGCCGGGCTGTGGCACGAAGGGGCGGGCGCCTGCAAACGGCACGTGCCGGGCATCTAAAAGGGGAGCTGCGAAAACAAGGACGAGTGAACTTCCTGGCTCGGGAGTTGAAATTCTCAAACATAATATCATATTAATGCAGTTTTCTTGTATTCCTTTCTACTTCTTTGTTTTTAAAATGCAAAACTCTCTCTGTTGAATGCAGAGGCAATGTCTTTGTTCCCATGGAGCTGACAATAAAGTGAGGAGAGGAGGGGGACAAACTCTCACACTGGTTCAAAATGCCCTACTTAGATTTTTAACTTTGGCTCGAAGGACTGCAGAATGTCAGAGCTGGAAATCAGCCTACCTGCTGCGTCTACCCACTGGCGACCCATCCTTTCTGTATAAATAAGGAAACTGAGCCACAGACCCTTCGGCAGCCTGCTAAAGTGGACGCTGACCTTTTCCATGGTGATCCAGACGGTGCAACCCCTAGAGCCTCGGTTGCCATTTTTCTGCTCTGTGGGGTCCTCGCCACTAGAACTCCCCAGCCACCTTTTCCAGTAAATAACCAGTATCTTAACATTCTTCTCCCACCCTAAAATAAAACCCATTCTCAGAGGAGCCTGATGCTGCTCCTTTACAACTCAGTGTGAGTTACTGCCTCTGCGGCCTCTCGTGGACTCTTTCAGAAAGCATTCCAAGGCACATCCTACATGCTGAGCAGGGTCAGACACTGAGGATGCCAAATGGTGGAAGCATGGTCCATGCGGGAGACTCGAGCAAAGACTCGCGTCAGAGAAGGCTTTAGAGAACAAGTGAGAGAGAAAAAAAGGGAAGGAAATAAGTTTTTTAGAAAGATAATAATACCTACAGGGACCTACAAGTCATCCGGTAGAGCTGAAACGACAGCCTGAACTCAGGAGGGGGCGTAGTGGAAAGAGAGGCGTGATGCGGGGCCAGGTGGCTGCCCATGGAGCCTGTGAAGAGTTTTGAGCAGACGGAGCGATGGGATCGGATCAGATTCTGGGACGTGCGCTGATGACAGGGTGGAGAATGAGTCGGGGGAAAGCAGCCTAGAATCAATAAGGACGGAAAGGAGGCCAACTCCTGCCTTAACAAAGGCGGTGGGAGGGAGAGCAGACAGCCTGAGGAATGGGAAGAAGACAGTCACGGGACCGGTGCCTGAATGCCAGCGGGGACCCAAGGAGAAAGAATCAAGGACACCTGCGTTTCTGGCTTGTGCACCAGGTGGTTCCTCTAAAGGAGAGAGAGAACCGCAGGAGAAGCAGCAAGTTTCAAGGGGAGCAGATGAGCAATTAAATTTAAGACAAGATAAGTTAAGATGCCTGGGGAGACCAGGTAAAATGTCCTAAATACATTTGATTTAAAGTCTTAGCTAAAATAAAATCTTCTGTCTTTAAGTAATTAAAAGTTTTCTTTGAGGTTAAATCCTACCACCAACATGTTGTTTACTTACCTGAGGATGCCCTTTCCAACATGCCCTCCCCGGAATGCATGAGGCTTGCTTAGTCGTCCTAATTTGGGTTTCTACTTCTTAACACACAAGAACCATTGGTCACGGTTGCTCCAAGTGGTTCTCAGGACACCCTGTGAAGGGAGGTCTCGGGTTGTTTGTGAATGGGGCTGCCTTGGTGGCAGCCAGCTCATGAGAATGCGACCACACTCGTCTTTAGAGTTTCATCAGTGACGCACCGCACCATGCGGACACTAGGAAGCAATCTGAACACCTGAACGTCTCGCTAGATGGTGGGCGCCTCAGGACAGAGCAGCATCCGTTGTATCTCCGTTCCCCACAGTGCCCAGCCGAGTATGGACATAAAACACATGGCCAGCAGTGGCTGTCCCACGGAAGACTTGACTACTTCAAAAACCCAAGGCTCAGAAACTTAAAGCGAAATGAACCTCCCGCCATCCACTCCTTTGACAAATATCTGGTGAACACCCAATGTGTCCAAGCAACAGCCAAGGTACAGCAGACAGATGGAACAAAAGAGATTGCCTCTACCCTCACAGAACAGGTCTAGGGCATGGACCAGTCAGAAACAAATAATTACCTCCTTCACCCCACATGAAAATCCACTCCAGGTAAGGTTTTCAGCACTACTGCCCTTGTCAGTGCCCCAAAGGGACACAGAGGCTGTTGGGATGCCCGATAAGGAACCCCCTAACTTGGCATCTAAACTGACTCCCACTGTGGGGAAGGAGGAGTGAGGGAGGAGGTATGTTCCAGGCAGTGGGAACAGCATGTGCAAAGGTCCAGAGACAAAAAAAGCTTAGATGGTCCTTGGAGGAAGGGAAAGTATTGTAGTTCAGTTTGACTGGAAAATATCAATTGCTGTGCTTCCAAAAGGACCTAAGGAACATCTAAAAGCAATTCTTTGTAAACTATCTCCTCTGCCTCTCTCATGGGAACCAGAGAACACAGAAAGTTATCTGAGTGACTGTTTTCCCCTGTGTCCCAAGGATGGATTACGAGTACCATTCTAGATACACAGAAAAGAAGTTAAATCATTACATAAGACGGATGCCTTGGGATAGAAGGCTTGATTCTCTCCAGGAACAAGTCTAAAGAGCACAGATAGGTTATGTAACATTGACAGGAATCTCAGCTCTGTCACTCTGTGACCTTGGGCAAGTTACTGCACATTCTTATACTTCCCAATGGGGATAATAAACGGAACCTGTCTTAACAGACTGATCAAAGGATTAAGTGCATGAATACAATTTAAAATCCTAAGACAGTACCCTATGCATAGTAAATACTCAATAAAAGGTAGTTATTATTCATTCTAACCCTGCCTCCACTCCTTATAGTCTCAAGTGGCACTGTTTAAAACCTCCAGTCCTATTTCACTCCATGGGTGATGGATGACAGATCAGAAAGGACACCATCAATTCTCGTTGAACTAACCATGCTATCACTCATTTGACAAACATTTATTGAGCACCCACTGCATCCTAGTCATTGTGCTCGGCACGAGAGATAAATGATGAATGCAGGACAAGACA